GTAGAACTCAAATTGGCTACAACAGTTCTTAAATATGAAACTGTTTATATTAATATGATACAAAGATACAAAAAAATAAAAATACAAAGTTTGATATAATTTGATTTGAGGGAAAGAACACATACTAATCAAAGTCATAATCAGATACATTACCTACATCTACAAACTCTATATTTTCCTTATCTTCACAATAAGTTAATAATAATGATTTAGCTTCATTTGTGAGAGGTTTATTTCGTTGACATATTTTAGGCCTGAAACTTGATAGGTATGGGTCAGACGATATTAACAAATTATTGATAATATCTTCATTTGTTGCAATCCTGCTAGATTTACGCGAGTGGAAGGTTCTGAAGTTTTTAAAATCTTTGTTACGAGCTTCAGAGGCCTCTTCAGAGAGCTTGCCGATTGGTATAAAGTTATTGTGCTCTATTATATCGGCACCATGAATGAGTAATTTATGCACGCTTGAGGGCATATAATACCATTCATAGAGCTCGTCATATTTGCGTGCTGTAGCAGCACAATATTGGCGGAATTTTTCCACGTCCACAAACTCTCCACATGAGATAGCCTGAAGAATCACTCCAAATCTTCTAACGAGTTCTTCATCAACACCCGTTATTTGAGCAGTAATTTGAGGATTAACAAAAAATCTTCTTGCTGTGTTTCCATCGTTGCTTGTACCAGCCCCTTGTTTAACAACGTCCACAAGTAGCCCCGTTTCAGTCCGGAATTGTTCTTGAATAGCCTTTTTTCTTTGGCTTAACTGTTGCTTCAAATCTTCGCCCTTAGCTTGCCATTTCTTGAAGTCGAGACGGTAAGCAATATGTAAGATACATTCCATGCATCTAATTCGTGCATGGAGGGAAGACAGACCGAACTTAAACATGTCTACAGACTGGGTTCTCTGAGTAACCTTGTCGATATCATTCATTTCTTTTGGTTTTGCTTTGCATATATCGCATGTAGCTGTGGATGTATCTGATAAATGTGAAGTTATTTTACCATCAATCATCGTCATATGCAGAACGTGTTTTACATTTGCACCATCGATAACAGTTGGATGTAGAGCAGCAATTTCCGTATCAATTGAAGTCATTTCTTCTTTAACATTCAAATCGTTCTCTTTAGCAAACTTAAAATAAATGGGTCGACAGTAAAACGTTGAAGACGCTTTGGGGTTTTCCCATAATATTTCATCAGTACCATCTCTCACCAGTTTTAACGGCACAAATGAACACATGAAGATGCTTGAATCATCGCCGTCAATTTTTTGTTGGTAGTTGCTTTGCCCAGATGCACCGTCAAACCCCCATTTACTGATAAGAGTCGAATTACTGCCAGTTAAATCAGTTTCCAGAGTTTTTAATAGTCTCTTGACCGTAATATCTAAAATAGACTGAAGTTTAAGTTTAACTTCAGTCTCAGTTATTACCATGTCTTCTTTTTCAACGTAGCACTCCTTCTTCTCTTGCTTCAAAGCATCATACGATGGAAGTATATCACACCCCATGTCTCTCATTGTCTGCCTCAATGTAATATACTGCCATTTCGATAATTTCAGTGATGTTGAAATACCGAGTGCCTTATCGGTATGACAAGTTCGTTTCGTCGATTTCAGGCAGGCTCGCAGCATTGGCGCATCTTCAGGCTTTTTAATCAAATGCTTCACTAATTCTACAAAGTCCGTTTGGTTTTCATTTTCCGCTTTCCTAGCCAGGGCATAAGCAAGTGTCTCAAAATCGTTTTCGGCAATGAGATTTTCAGTTCTTCTTCTTTTTTGCAGTGGACTCAAATTGGCAAATTCTTTTCGAGGACTAAATGTAGCGGTTGATGTCGACACAGCCACACTATGAGGAACAGTGCATTCCGTTGATAAACTAGGTCTTGTTACTGTTGAAATACTTGTTGAAGGATCTTCAAAACTCGTCATAATATTTGATTGTTTTTCAGTTATGTCTAGTGAAACAAACTCTGGCCATTTTATTTCTTGGTCCAACCAGTCAGCAAACTTCTTTATAAAATTCCCTTGTGTGTAATTAGCTGACTTCCATTTGCGTTTAAGATTACTCGTATATGTAGCACAAAACGTTTTAAGAGTTGTCTTTTGTTCTTCAGATAATGAAAATCTCACTGAATCGAGTACTTTTTGAAATAACATGTCGGCACTAAAAGATTTTTGCCTCATATATATATATACGTCGAGATTAGACACAAGCCCTTCCATTCTGAGCAACTTAAAATTTGAGCAAAGAGAACGTTACGGTACGAATCAATAATGATAAGTGAAATGAAATACAGGTGTACTCCGTATTTATTATAATCGAAGTCATTGTTGAATAATAATAATAACAACGTATTATTTATTCACCTACCCACAATAAAAGCAAATAATCAGTAATTATTATAGGCAAGCAACGGCAGGTAATGACTGTGGGTAACCCTTTGAATTCCTCAAAACCTGCAACAATAGAGTTTGTATTGTTTATATGTAATGATGCTCTCGTTAATGGCGCGCGGCTTTTAAGCGATTGTCAAACAAAAGATTAAATTGTAGGCTGTAAAGGACTTCATTGTAATTCTTTACAATATTGTATTCTTGTTTTCTTTCTCTTAAAACTATTTCTTTTATCTATTTATATTAATTCCATATCTTTTGAATAAGGACGCTTTTATTTAAAGTTAAGTTGTATGGTGTCGTTATCTATATATATATATATGTATAGTTTTATTAGATAATAATCTGCGCTGTATTAATAACTAAATGCTGGGCAAGAAACATAAACAAACTGTTTATTGAGACACATAACCCCGTAAAGCAAAATTACCCTAATAAGCATTTTGAAAAATTCGTATCTTTTGAACGGGGCCGTCCGGGGTGAAGGTCAAAGGTCACATGGCTTCGTAACAGACCCGATAATAATCCCTATTAGTTTCAGCTTGACCGTAGAAGACCGAGACAAGTTATGAGCAAAACAAATTCCGTTTTCATACATTTGAAACTCTAAAGCCCGTGCTTTATGGTGTTAGATTAAAAGGAAATTCCCCAAACTATTTTATTATTCAATGTACTGATATGTCCAATAAAACCGCATACCTTAAACGGATAATATACATTTTTATTTTTTCAAAAATCCTATGAAAGGGGACCTCTTTTTTTCACCCACTGTGCGCCGTGTGCGTTACTCGATGCAGTTGTAAGCGATGTATTATGGCGGACAAGTCTTCCGCGGACTCCTTTATCTGCGCAGGCTATTAGGTTGCCAATTTTAGTTTTTTGGGGATCAATTAATCTTTTTTTGATGATCATTTAAATATGTGCACAAAAAAATCTGGCATACGGCCGACCAGTCGCCAAAAGTTGAGAATAAAACTAAGTTTAATCGCTTTGGATCTTTGATTTATTAAATTAGAAATATATGCGCGTGTGCTTGTGTGAAAAGGAGAGGTAATTATCTTAAGAGCCTGCGCTGCGTTAATTAACGGGTCCCCCGACGGAGCACGGCAGCACGGAGCGGATCTCCGAAAAAGACGTTCGCTCCGCACTCCCGCTTAATGTAACGCAGGCTCTGAAGGGGAATGCCAAATATCCTCCCAAGTGATGTAAGAGCTGGTTCCCACTTGTCGGGTGTCGGATCCGTATATTAATCGGATGTCGGTGCCTTTGTTCACACACACGATTAATAATCGGTTGTCGGTCACGGTTGAAGCTTTAACCAATTTTAGGCACTCTACGCGAGGCGACTGTTCACGATGGACTTTAACGAAGTTCTTGTTGTGATGTTCCTGTTATTATTAAAGAAAACAAAAAGAGAGAGCCATGGAACGTAAATATTGGGTGCACATATTCCTGAGGGAAAGATTTGACTTTGGGTAAATTTCAGAACTTAACAGAATTGAGAAGTGACGAAATTAAGCATTTCAATTATTTTAGGATGTCAATATCAACATTCAACGTTCTACTGACTCAAATATTAGTGAACATAAACTACCAATATACAGAGAGTCTGCATTTGTACTGAAAAAAGGTTGCGTTACGGACGGAACAAGGGGTAGCGGGGGAGAATAGTCAGCCCCGACACCCGACAAATATGAACAGCGCCATTCTTAATCATAGGCGAGCGAGATCCGACACGATTTTTTTCCGGGCGTAGAGGGCTGGCAAAACACCCGACACTTCTTGTCGGAGCCGACACAAAATCGGTTTCCGATAAGTGTGAATAGCTTCATATATAATGCTCTGCCACTGGAACCTCCGATTAATATACGGATCCGACACCCGACAAGTGGGAACGAGCTCTAAGTTGTAACACGTTGGGCCCTATCACAAATGAAAGGTCTTCTAAAATACTATTTTTATTTGTATTTGAGGAATTTTCTATCTCGTGCAAGTAAAAAAGTATGAGCTAAACAACAAAGTACCTATTCGAAATGTTTTTAACTAGATAAAAAAAATATGAGCAATTCTTTGTACAGTAACAAAATTCCTTGCACAAAATATAAACAAAATACGTTTGAAATATGATTAAAGACAGTACAAAATTTTTAGTCATAACTTGTTACAAGCTTGGAACGGTACTCGGTAAAATGGGCATTCTACTCTCCTTTAAGTCAATACCTCTGTTGCGCTCTGGCACCCGCTATTCGTTTTAGATTGTCGTAGTTTCCTCAAATGTCGCGTAATTTACATTCATTACTCACCACTCGCTGATTTCGCTCGCCTAGTCCCGCAGTATACGCACGGTATAATCAGGCTAGCTGTGATTTTACACTTATCCAAAACAATTTTGCTTACAAGGGGTGTGACATGCACGTACGACTTGCGATTATCCCTCGTTCTTTTGGTGGTAGCTAGTAACCGTCACCAAAAAATTGCACCAACTTTCAAAAAAGTGTAGATCAGATGGCACTCCATTATATAATACATACAGAATCCGATACACAACACAATGAATACTGTGTAGTCAATTTTAAATATTTACCTTTATTTACCTTTTCAGGTCACCAGAATTATTATTTGGGGCTCGGCAATACGGAACAGGAGTGGACATGTGGGCTATAGGCTGCATATTAGCGGAATTATTGCTAAGAGTGCCTTTCTTGCCAGGTGAATCAGACTTAGACCAATTATCACGTATTTTCCAAGTATTTGGGACTCCCAATGAAGAAATTTGGCCTGTATGCATCTTTACTGAGACTTTAAACAATAAAAATACATCTACTTAATTTTACAAACTGTATTTTGTATAATATAATTGCAGGGGATGAAGGGGTTAACAGACTACGTTCAGTTCAAACAGTTCCCACCGCAGCAGTTAAGACATATATTCAGCGCAGCATCAGATGACCTTATTCAACTGCTGGATAGCTTGTTAGCCATTTATCCACCCAAGAGGTGTGACTGCACACAAGCATTACAAATGCCGTATTTCAGGTAAGGGATATTAAAGCTTTTTGACAGTTCTTTGGGATAAAATGTAGAAGGCCTTAAGGCCTAGCAAAAAGCACAGGAACTCTGAGACATACATAGTACATGCATGCATAGGGCAAAAAAATTTTTTTAAGATATTTAAAAACAAATTAATTCTAAATTTTCACAAAATTAAAGCATGAAAGTGTGACAGCATCAATTTCGCATTTATTAACAGGTATCTCGAAATTAAGTATAAAAAAATTATTTCAATTTAAAAATATAGATTAAAGAATTTATTAGAACTTTGCTTATGACAACTTTAGGGCCATCTAGACTAAAACAGCTAGCAGTTATATGCTTAAAAAATAGAAACATAACTATAATTGCTATTTCTTCAAATGTTTAATACTTGTAAAAGTATTCATTTGACATTGTGGGTTGCCTGTAATGCGAAGTGATGGCGCTGCCTTCAGGGGCAGGGTCAGGGCCGCGGTAGCATAATGGTTAGTACATTCGCCCGGATAGCGAAGGGTGCGGGTTCGAGTCCCGTCTGCTGCCTTGTCCGCGTGGATTTATTTTTCTATTAAACTTTTCTTTAGTTTTGACAAACAACTTTAGAGCCAGTTTACCGCTTTCTTTACCTTGGTTTTGGTTCAGCGGTAATTGCATTAAACAGGAATATGAAAAAGATGACAAATATTTAGAAACTATGTAAATGGCGCTATGTACATAGTTTCTAAATTTGCATGGAATTATTAGTGATAATAGTAAGAACGGACTCGATTTTGCTTTTCCAAATATGGACAATGTTAGTTTTATTTTTCACATTTTCATTTTTATTTTTTTCAGCAATAAACCAGCACCAACTGTTGGGTCCAAGCTACCAATGCCTTCAAATGTTACGAAAACAGAGACCGACAAGCCCTCGCTCAAGAGAAAACTATTGGAAAACATTGATGGTGGCTCTTTGGCAAAAAGACTTCAATTTTAGTGGTATGAAATTAATTTTACAATGGAACAAACTAATTCCAGAATTGTAATCTACATTAGATAAAATAACCAATTAGTAACCAATTTTGTGTATAATGAATAAGATTAACTATTAAGCTGGACTTATTCTGCCAATAATAAAAAAAGCTCAATTTCAACGTAATATAATATAAGAGTTTTAAAGAATTCAGTGTTTAATTCAAATTGTAGTATTTCCTTGCAGTTTTTACCAACGCTCGATAAAAAAGTACACATTGTAATATAGTAAAATGTGTATATTTTCTTGTCTATATCTAAGTATCTATGCACCAAAAATTTACAAAACCACAACAATATCAAAGTAAGATAATAAATATGTTGATAACAAGGATATGAAATACAAAAGCATTTTTAAATTACTGTTTTAAAATTAAAGGACTACATGTGTACATATACACTTTTTAAGCTTGAACAAGTTATGGCACATTTTCCTTCGAGCCACTGTATTCTTACTTAAGGTAGGGAGACCGTCGTCGGTAGTCTGAAAAGACAGTCCCATTAGACCGATTAATTAAACAATGATGGTAGCTTAATAAATTTACTCCAAATTAAATACAAAAATCTAAATAAAAACATACGAGTTCATTTTCCATATAGTGTAAGCCATTCGCGCTAAATGCGCTTTGTTGGCGCCCAACGTGGTAGCCGTGAAAGTTGCCGGACGCGAATAAATAACTGCGTCTCGGCATTCCACCTTCAACCCTGGAAAATAAAAACCAGTGGAGACATCGGATTCACGGCGTAAATTATCTATTAATTTATCGTTTGTCAAAATACCGAATAATTAACCGATAAATGTATATCGAATATATTATGTGGGGATTGCTTCCCACACTTGATGCTTGTTAAGGGTAAGGTTACTCCAAGGAGTGCTAAATAAAACCGAACCGTTTGAATGTTGTAAAAACACTAATTTATTTCGATAACTGATTGTGCAAAGAAAAATACAATTTCATGAGTATGCTTAAAAGTAATCTGGGTCAATTTGAAATCATTATAATGTACAATCAAGTAGGTACGAGTATGTACAGCTCGTACATCTTGGCCACTTAAGAAAAGAAATTTCAGACCCTTTCTTATATCAAACTGCTGTCATAAATGTATTAAAGTGATTAGTTAGTAACAATCATCCTTATAATTATGTTAGATGGTGAATTATTTTATATTAGTTACAAAGTTTCTTAATGAATACGTTAATTTGTAAGTTATGAATCGCGTGAATGCACTCGGTACTCGTATCGTATAATTTCTTTAATTCATACGAAGTTTGCTTATGGACATTAGGCTGATTCAAAAAAGTCTCAACTTGCATTGTAAATAATACCTGCGGGTTATTATAACGATGTGTCAATAATTCCCAGGCTTTGTAAATTACGCAATTCGTCTTCTAACTCCCACTTTTCGGATATTTCGCTTGGAATGATACTCTGCACTAACCTATTAAATGCTCGAAAATTTGTACGCTGTTGGCTTAACAATTCATTCACCTTTCCGTCCTGAATAGCCTTGTCAACTGTATGCTTTTTCTCCGTTTTATATGACGATATAGTATGACGTAAATTTATGTAAAAATCTTTTGCTTGATCAAATGTATTTTCCAAAAAATATTGTTGCTCTTTATTCTCACACTAGCTTTTGCCCACGACTTCGTCCGCGTTTTCGTCGTTTTTCGTAAAAAAGTAGCATATGTCCTTCCTCAGGGTTCCGTGGTTTTGATGTGACAGACAGATTAACTTTCGTATTAGTAGGGAAATATAATATGTCAATCCACAATACTGTTAAAAATATCGCAATAAGGAACCGCAGAATATTATTATTATCACTGTGCCCCGAGACCATCAGCATGTAACTCCTTGTATGTTATTATGTTAATGTATTGGTAATATTGTTTAGATCGCTTTCACATGAGGCTTAGGTACATATAGAATGAAAATACTTCAGCGCAAAGCTTCCGGGTAAACTACGTTGAAAGTTGACCCATCCGGCACGTGAACATAAAAATTTCTAGGACTGCTAACCCGGGAAAGAGCGACATAACTGACCATGTGAAAAGCAACTGACACCGAGATCTACTCCAGCAACACGAATAGTCTGCCCTTGAGCCTTATTTATTGTCATTGCACAACACACCGATACTGGGAATTGCGTTCTTTTAAATTGGAATGGAAAATTATTTGGTATTATGGGAATTCTGGGAATAAAGATGGTTTCTCCTGCACCGCAACCTGTTAAAATTTGAGCCTCGATTACATTTTGTTGCAACTGGGTTACTTTAAGCCGAGTTCCATTGCAAATTTGTGGTGATCTTAAATTTCGGAGCAGAATAATCGGAATGCCAATTTTTAAACAAATTTCATGAGAAGGAAGTCCGGGCATATTTAAAGAATTTAAAAATTCTATCGGGTAGTTAGTGGCTTCTTGTTCATCGGCCATTCTATTTATTGAACTATAAACTTTGCTTACCCCCTGGATATTCGACAGTATTAATCTCAGATGCCTGGTCATTGCGAGGAGTTAAAATGGAACTTTCGCATAGCCAAGAATTATCCTTATTTAATATATTTGTTACGTCACCGTAAACTGACGATGTAATATGTTGTTGGGATTGCACTATACCACACAACTCAGGCTTCAGAATAAGTTTTCCTTGGTGTAGCAGTGGATAGGTATCTTTGGTGAAGGTATTTTCTTTAATAATATATCAGAAAATTCACGATCATCCGGGTTATCTAGAGTTCTCACCCGCATGTTTATAGTCAAATGCACCGATTGTATATCACGCCACAAATAAGAGCTTTTCAGGCAAGCCCTAACCTCATCAGCTCGAGTTCCCCGTGATATTACCGGTAAGGTTTGTCGGAAATCACCACAAAATAAAACTGTGATACCGCCCATTGGTCGATCATTTTGTCTTATATCCCTTAAAGTTCTGTCTACCGCTTCTACTCCTTTTCGATGGGCCATCGTACATTCATCCCATATGATTAAATTACACTTTGAACGAATATTTAAACACTACCAAAACAACTAATACGTGGTCCTAACTTTAGCTACCTTACACTTAAAATCTAAGTGACTATTTAAACTAAAATATTCTTATAGAATTATAACCAGAAATATATACAACTCACAACAAAAAAGAAATGAAAATAAAGCTGAAACGCCTGTGCAATACTATCTACCTATACCTACTTCACTTAAAAATAAATACTTATAACTACTTTATTAATAAAAGTACCTACGCTTAATAATTTTTAATTTGAACGAATATTTAAACACTACCAAAACAACTAATACCTATTTTACAAAATAACAACAAAAGAAATTTAAATAAACTATTTAAAGACTAAAAGTCGCGCTGATAAGCACGGTTACTCAATATTTCTCAATTATTGTCTGTCAATAAGGTCGAACGCTCTGAACGCATCAACAGCCAAATATTGAAGCTCGCTCGCTCTCTTTTTTTATTTTTTTTGTTTTGGGGAGCAGGTGAGAAATCCTCATGGATACCCTACAGCCGGCTGCAAGGTTATGTCAGACTCGTACTGACTAAAAAACACCCGTAGGGGCTGCCTCTGGCCGGGAAGGCCTCTAAGGGTTCATCGGAAGCGATCGTCCCCCAGGGGGGGGGGAGGGGGGGGGAACGACGCAGAAAACAGATTTAGACAGCTCGCTCTCGGACCTCCCGTATTTTGATACCCTACCGCCGCCGCGACCCGTGTCGAGCGCGGCAACCGTTACACAAAAATAATCCTTATAGCATGATTCAGTATTCACGTGCGACGGCGCGATGGCTTATTTCATGTATAAGTTTGGTGTTTCTATACCGATTTCTATGTTTTGTTTTTATTGAATAGGTAATAATGTTAACTTTTTTAAATTAGGGATGAGTCAGAGTATTATAAACGTAAGAGTAAACAAATATGATCAGAATGCTCCGAACTGCTAAGCTATCGGGAGTTACACGTGTTATTGTGAGTCAACCATAAAAGATAGACATATGCTTTTGCGGGAAATTTTTTAGACAATTTTATGTAGAATATTTCCGTCATACATGGTTTCTATGTAACTTTAATTATTAAGGCTGCACACGCGACGGAAGCTTAAAAAATGGATTAACTTCTCCCGTTTTCCCAACATTTCCCTTCACTACTCTGCTCCTATTGATTGTAGCGTGATGAAAAGTATACTATAACCTGCCCAGGAGTATGAAGAATAATTGTACCAAGTTTCGTTAAAATCCGTCGAGTAGTTTTGGTTTCTATAAGGAACATACAGACAGACAGACAGACAGACAAAAAATTTACTGATTGCATTTTTGGCATCAGTATCGATCACTTATCACCCCCTGATAGTTATTTTAAAAATATATTTCATGTACAGAATTGACATCTCTACAGATTTATTATAAGTATAGATAACTGTAATTGCTCATTATTCATACTGAACTCTCCCCAGAGACTATCTAAAGCGGTTAGACGTTTCATCAGATAATCCGAAGTTTTGCGACTCGAAGCGTCCTTGCCAAAGTTACTTTTGATCTGCTTCATCTGCTCCTGCATTTCTGACTGACGCTGAATGAGAGATTCCATGATTAATTGAAATAAAAGGAACAATCTTACTTGAAATGCCGTTGAAGTACTTAGATGCTGCTAACTGCTCTCCTCAGGAACTGCTGTCAATCTTACTGGTCTATGTGATCCTAGTTGGGATTGAGCGAGACTGACGAAGACGATGTAGATTGCTCAAATTTTGCTGATGCTTGATTAGTTTCTGTTCAGTACGTTGCGAGGTGAAACGCGGCGAAGTTAATCACTTGTACAACTTTGTCCACGTAACGAATTTTTAGGGTACCGCACTTCGACTCACAAACTGTCCAAAGACACGAAACCGAAACTTGATCCCGCAACGATTGCTCGAAGGACCAAAAATGTGGGGATTGCTTCCCACACTTGATGCTTATTAAGGGTAAGGTTACTCCAAGGAGTGCTAAATAAAACCGAACCGTTTGAATGTTGTAAAAACACTAATTTATTTCGATAACTGATTGTGCAAAGAAAAATACAATTTCATGAGTATGCTTAAAAGTAATCTGGGTCAATTTGAAATCATTATAATGTACAATCAAGTAGGTACGAGTATGTACAGCTCGTACATATTATGTATATCGGAAATAATAATATACTTCCGGGCACATTTTACAAGTTTTCCACTAACCACCCATTTAGTGTTGAAAGTTTCAACGGTCTATAGCAAAATTATATGGGTATGTTCAAGCAATAATTTTAAAAGCACACGAAAAGATTGGTTAGTAATCCAGCTGCAAAACTGGACTTTACAACTCTTTGTCCATCTGCTTACGTTCATTACGTCCACCCCACTTACGTCTAATAGTCGTCCACCTACTTACGTCTCTTTAAGAAACTGAGAGCTAACTTTATAACTTTAATATCACTTTCCCATCTATAAAATGAAAGGAATTGCAGATAAAGAACAGTTAACAATTCGTCCCTTATTTATAGTCGATGTTTAGGCAACGCTCGCTGTAAAACGGCTCAGGTTATGTACTCGCGTATTACGTCTAGCTGATAAGCAATATTGATACTCATATATTTACAAATACTAATCACACTGGAAATTATATATCCTATATCTTTCCGCATGTAGTCGAGGATTTAAGTATACAATGAACACAACGCTCTATAGTAATTATAGCTAAGCCTTCCAATCTTGATAAAAAAAATCAAGCAAACCTATCCAAGAGTATCCTTGGAGATTCTAGATTTCCAAATAAACATCGCAAGTTTCATGTTGCTACCCAAAAAAATGCATTGCTAAAGCCTCGATGACACGGGGCGAGTTTACAAGCCAGCGAGTTCGCTAGCAGCTTGTACACTCGCCCCGTGTCATCGGCTTTGTTACCATTTGCTACTGGTAGATACGGGACGAGTTAATAAGCTACTTGCGAACTCGCTGGCTTGTAGCTTGTAAACTCGCTCTGTGTCATCGAGACTTAACCAATTTATAAGAAGTCATCACATTTGAAAATGAGGGTTTTCTGGAATGACGGCTGCCAGATGGCAGCACTGAGACGAAAAGCCTACTCATCTGTAAAAGCACCTATGACGTTATTATCTATAGATCAATTTAAATTCTTGTTCGATTAATTCGCGCTAAAATCCATACAAAAGATCTCATGTCACAGTGGCGCCAACTGGTGGCGTAAATTTTCTTAAACATCCTCATTGTTTAGCGATAGGTGTCGATTCTGGCATGATTATCTAAACTTAAAACTAAATATAACATCAGAATCACCCATTCATTCTGTATAGAGAATGAGAAGGAAACACTTATCATATTTAAGTTTAGGTTTAGAGACTCATGCCAGAATCGACATCATAATCGTATTAAAAAACTTAGTCTCACCATCATCCAAATTTTCACCGCGGCCCTGTGGTTTGTGCTTGTCTATCCAATTCTTCTTCTTTACAGTGAATGGCTGTTGGTACATAAAATTTTATTTCCTCTTCAATTTGCAAGTCAAATTTTCGTTTTATAGTTTACGTATGTTTCATGCAGCATTCTACGATTACACTTTCTGAAGGCAAACACAATATTTTATATTATTAAATAGTTTATTATGGTTTCATTGATTCAAATTGTAATATAATATGTTCATAGTGCCAATTCACAGTCATGTCTTTAGTTTTGACAAAACATTGTGTTAGCCGACCTACGGCAATATTCTATGAAGTGGCCCGAGAACATTATTTGTAAAACAATCTCACAACATTAAGTGTTAACAGTAAATTTAGTATATCAGTAATTTTAATATATTTTATAACTTTAATGAGTTCTATCTATTCAAATGTTTAAAAATTAATCATGAAAAGTAATAGGGATATTAATAAGTACTGTATATTTGCACAAAAACGCCATAAACTCAAGCAATGTTTCTATTGTCTATATTTAGGTTACAGTAAATTTATTACGCACTTTGGGAGAATTGGACAACACAGACAGGCGTCCGTACACGCCATACTTTCGTTCATCTTCGGGCCTCAGCGTACCCATTTTCTTCATAACTAGATATATCTGTAAGAAGAAAGGTGGAATATTGCTAATGTTCACGATCAATATTTCATAATTTTCATATACGCGATAATTGTATTCGCTTCGAATTTCTCATTTTAGCAGACAACATTATTTTCAATTTAGGTACTTAAGAAGTCTAGGGACTTCACTATTGACATGAGACTGAAACGACTATAACTATTTCTATTTAGTTATGACAGGTACCTTATCTAAACAAAATGTCGAAACGACCAACAACAAGATGACTAAAAGAAATGACAAACTCAAACTATGTTATTCGATAACTTAGGTACCTATTTACATTACGGTTCATCTCCCATTCCTTAGTCAGTCTAATATTTTTACGCTAAGAGATAACAATATTCCCACAGCCACTGTAGATCAAGCTTGTTCTGTCATGTGATAAAAAAATATTTTAAACTTCGCCAAAAAGATGTTAAAAGCTGTTATGCCCAGATACAGGGAGCAGGGACTCCCTTACACGCTTTGATATTCCTTACATGAGTTTTTACGCTATGTTCAGAGTTCTCTCAATAGGGATGACGACTAACTTTTTTTTTCTTCTTCTATCAGGTAGATTATTAAAAAGTATTGGACACGTATTTTTCTTTGAAATGTCGCATGACGTCACGTTTTGGTACAATGTTACCTTAAAAGTGACGTCACGATCCCCCCCTCCCAACTTTATTTATTTGTCTCTTGATCCTTTTCAGGCTGCGTCGTCAGTATTATCAATTACCTAATTCTGACGATGCGACGCAGCCTGAAAAGGATGCGAAACGTCAAGGGACAAATAAATTAACGCATTTAACCCGTTGGAAATTGTTTTATTTAATGAGCGGTGTGCGTGAAAACCTAAGAAACAAATATAAAAAATACGCGTTTATTATTTTTTGATAATCTAACTGACGGATTAAATAAAACTAAAAAAAAATATTTTACTTTCCCCCGTTGTCGCCCCCATTCCTGATGCACCTACTCACCTGCTCCAGCATGCCATAGCTCCTGATGAGGAAGTCTCTTTGTGCCAGTAGGTTGATCCGCTCGCGTTCTTCCTTCTCCACTATTGGATCGGGCTCGTAAGAGCACAACACGTATGAAGGCTTCGGCTCTTTCTCTACCACCTAAATAGACAATATTAAAGTGCCAATGAAAGAATGAGATTCTGACAGGTCTAGTAAAAAAAGGTCCGAAAATATACTGGAATAGCCTGCGCAGACGAGGGACTTCGAGTCCGAGGTATTTCTTGTCGGCCAAAAAGAGATCGCCAACAACTGCATCGCGTAACGCACACGAGGGATATAAAAGAAGAGAGGGTCCCGCGAACAACCGAGGACACCGAGAGATCGGACCAAAGACCAAACTTCATGTTAATTACAACAAAACTTAATTTGAGAATATTAGCTTCCATAGCGTGCGCTTTTCTAAATTTTTGGATAACAAATGTTCGCACATTGTGTGCGTTGAGTCCGTGACTAATCCTCGGCGGACATTTTTTTCACGATTCAGGGACGTTGTCCTGCGCTGACAAAAGTCCCTCGTCTGCCCGCTAGATAAATTCTTTCACCATAAGGAACTGCGCCACCTGTCACAGGATTGCATTCATTCGTTGGCCGTGCAGTAGAGAGACATGTTTAAGAAATTAAACTTTAATAGGGTCATATTGGTAAATCACCAACACAACATCATAAGACCTAGGGGATGTCTAACTTAAACGATTCTACGATCCCTTTCAAAGTGGAAATAACAGGTATCAGGGTGACTTACTTTCCAAAATCAAAGAATCTTAAATAAAAGAGAGGGCGGAAGAAGTTAACGTTACACAATAGGCCCTTGGCTAGAAAATAGTGAAATCGAAAATTTTATCAAAAATTTATAAATTTATTCTATTGGATCTTATCGATGGGCTTGAATACAGTAAACTGTCACAACACAAATCCTCGAAATATATAGAAAGTTACCGGTTGCTGCGCCAAAGAGGGTTTAGCAGTAAGTTTCTTATCCTTATCTTCCTTGTCTTTTCGCTTCTCCTTTTCCTTATCCTTAGGTTTGGCTTTGGTCTTCTCTACAGCGGTTGTGGCCATACTGGCTGTTGTGGTGACGGTGCCACTGCCTTCTTCGCCTTGTTTCTTCTCACCCTCCTTAAGAGTTTTGGGCTGGGACGGCTTCTTCAGTGCCTCAGCTTTGGCTTTTGTTTGCTGCAGATGTCAGATAATAACTAAGCGGTGTATATTAAAAACAAAAGGCACAGTGCGCCAGGTGATCTAACAAAAGTATTATAGATACACTATTTAAATTGCTTAATCAATAACTTGAGTAAATTTTTGGCAGATCGCTTTCCCATCCCTGGGTCGCTCGCTCTCATATTTACTTGTTTTAACTTTTTGTTTAGTCTATATACAACCAAATCGAGTCTTCGATTTTTCAGCAGTTATTTTCGACTACAATATCACAACAGGATTATTTGCCCTGTAGTAACCTAATATCGTCAATAATCTGGCGTTCGATGTAACGTGGTTAGCGTTTAGGATCCAGGGAGTCATGGGGGTAAGGACTTTTGCATCGTGTAAATAGCGCTTAAGTCATCTTTTACGTTCTCGTCTAAAGTCTTTCCCTCTCATTAATAAACGAAGACTAAGCTGGGATAACTTACTCCATGTTTTGTCTTTGTTCATTGAATGACAAATAAATAAATAATAATAAATATTTCCAACACTCACACCAATAATTAGCCTAGCCCAAAGTAAGCACTGTAAGGCTTGTGTTATGGGATGCTAGGGTAACGGATAGAATACATATACAGTACATGTATAAGTATATTTATATAGAAATATATATTAAACATCCATGACTGGAGTACAAATGCTCGTATTCATCACACAAACATCTGCCTCCACCGGGATTTGAACCCGGGACCTCTCCGAGTTGGCGACACCATGAAACCCGGCGTACAAACGGCGTCAAAATGGGATATGAGTGACATGAACAAAACACGGCGCATCTAATCTAAGCTTATTCCTTGTTTATTAATAAGGGGGTTTGGGTTAACCTGGAATTCTTCGCGCTGTATACGCGTGCAGTCGCCGCGCGCGCGTGATGACGCTGTGCCCGTGTACAGTGAACCTGAAGGCTGTTGAAACAGCGATGCGTACTGCTCCCCTACCGGGTACACCCGTCTGTACGAGAAATTATGGACATAAGTAAGTAACCGATTACTGTATAGCCGTCTTATAAAGAAGAAGTTATTGTCTGGCATTTTGAGATCCACTGGTAGAGATTGAGATGACCTTTAAACGTCAAAGAAAGTATCTAATTCTAAACTGTATTTTCCGTTCCGATCCTTTTCTGTTATTTAACGTTTTCGCTTCTACCAGAACGTGTAACCTTGTAAATTATCTAGTTACATGCGGATTTATAATCGTTTTTTCATGAAAATAATAAAATCATATTTTGTTATAATGAATCACCTATAGTTTCCAAGATGAGTCTCCTCCCATTGGATTTGGGTTTGCCAGGGACTTTTCTCTATCTCCTTGTCGTCGGTGGGCGTGAAATCTGCAAACCTTCAAGTTTACGAAACATACAAAAACCATTATGTAACAATTCACACATATTCCGTACAAGAAAGCGAAATTTTCACTACGTTGGCTGATCTAGAATTTGTGTTGTATGTACATATAATATAGCGTAGCACCTAATACTTTTCCTGCGTTATTTAATTTTGTTTAAGAGTTTTTACCAGACACAAAAAAAAACATTTAGTTTTAAGTATTATGATACGCTGTGATGACTGTCAGATAGCTTTTATTTTATTACTAGTTTCGTCCGAAATGAATGACTGTGGTTCATTCGCAAACGGCGAATTATTCAGAGCGCGTTTTCTTGCGTGGATGGATCGTAATTTTTTCAATCTAGCCTGTAAAACGAGCACTTGTAATTGACAAAAAAATATGCCACCGTTTTGTAAATCTGTCGCGGGAGACATTTTATTGATAAAATGCAATTCAAACTTTATGGTAGTTGTGAAGATAGCAGCGAGCGCAACTGTGAGCGCGTTTTAGTTAAGAGACATCCCGCGCGCACCTACTACACGCTACTGCGGCGCGACATGCGCTTACTTCACAGCCGCCATTTAGTTCAATCCCCACTATACCCATAAGTATTTAAGAGACGTAGGGTGTAGCGGATTTTCCGTTCTGATTGGAGCGCCCGTCTGGGGAAGTAACCTCCACCTTACAGAAGGCCACAATAAATAACACTACCTTTTGATGGTGTTGTGTTCCTGTCGGTGAGTAAGGTACTAGGGCTCTACGGGGTATTGGTCAAGGTAGGCAACAGCGCGAGTGATATTTTTTGTATTGCAAGCGTCAGGCTATGGAGGCTGCTTACCATCAAGTCGAACAAACGCTTATTTGCCACCCTTTTAACATAAACAAAAAAAAAGCTTTTGCTCACTTGGTGCTTTGCAGCAATCGGTCCCGGATGCGCTTGCGGTCCTCCTCGAGCACGCGCTTTTTGTCGCACTGCCATATGTTGAGCATAGTGAATGTGTCTGTTAGAAGGCTCTCCTTCACTTCGCGGTCGAGCTGCGTGTCCGTGTGGAAGCTCGGCGAATGATTCACCTGAATGTGACCAAATATTTATCGATCGGTATACAACGTAATAAAGGTTGACTTTTAAAAAAGTTTTCAGTCAATCTTTAATAGTAGTAAATATATTACCTCTAAAATGTATGGATGCAATTTATGATCTAAGAGAATATCGAATCCCAATATTTCAAAACACGCATGCACCTGCAAAGTATTTTTAAATTAATTACAATGTTAATATAATATTTAATAGTTGGTCTGCAAGATATACCTAATTTAAAATACTTATTCGTATAAAAACCCACGTCCTGTTTTGGAAGTAAATGTATTAAAAAAAAATATTAATGAAGCAAGCATCTAAATGCGTACAAGTACAACAATGGAATGGAGGTATTCAGGTAAGGTTGTACCTACTACATACATTTCAGAATTTGAATTCTACATTTACAACATGTTTACTCTAACACCCAAATAATATTGAGTACTTATAATTGAATCTATAAATAAGCGTATCTGAAGCGTTTAGTTATAATGTAAAACTGTGATTAGTGATGCTAATGTTCTAATACATAGGTATTTGTTACCCGTCGCTTAAATTAGATTATTTATCAGTGCTACTAGAACAATTGGAAATAAATTAGGTATACTATCCACCACTATTCAATTTTCCATGCTGCTTTGCTCCTTACAAACGTCGCATTCAAATTAAGTTCTAGTACTTCTATTAAATTGATCTGGTTACGTGACACCCTTCTATTTTTGAAGTTATACTTCTTTAGGCGCGTTATGAAAAAATGATGAGAGTGAAATTTTAAGATGCGCGCGCATCACTGTAACACAAAATTTTAACAGCATGAAGTTGGTAGCTTTAGCGTTACTTTTGTGTTTACCGCACATTAAGAAAATCTACCAACAAAATAGAAATAGAATCTCTATTTAGTGGGTGCTAACAACTGCATTGTGAAGGCCTATCAAAAGTATTTTTTAATCTGGAACAACGGAACCAAAGCGCGATTCAGGAGACTACAGCGCAATCTCTTGACCATTGGTGTAGTAGAACCAAAAACCACATCTTTATTTTTTGTAATAAAGTAACAGTTATAGGTATTCATATTTATAATATCAAAAGTATTTATTAATCTGGAACAACGGAACCAAAGCGCGATTCAGGAGACTACAGCGCCATCTCTTGACCATTGGTGTAGGTAGTAGAACCAAAAACCACATCTTTATTTTTTGTAATAAAGTAACAGTTATAGGTATTCATATTTATAATATTTATCCACATGTTTCTAGTTTGTAAATTCGGAATACGTGTTTGAGTTTCATACAAGTGCAAATCACATATGTTCTAATAAATTATATTCAGTAGCGATTTTAATTGAATATTTTGATTATTTATTTATTTTTTCAAATTAAAACTTAACTTTATTGACTTCGTCCTTTTCCAGACTTTTTATTAATTTATTGTAATTAATTATTTGCATGCAATTAAAAACTAATTTTAAACGATGCCAAAGAAGGATAACTTCTCACGCGCCTACATAAGTACACGCACCCATTTTTTATTAGAACATGTAGCACACTAATAAAGTTATTAAGTTCTGAACTGAAACCATGTCATGAGAGGGAAAGCACGCGTGGTAGCTGTGCTTGAGGATGGGCCATGCGGATATGATCGTCTTCACTATCACTTGGTCTATGGAGTGCCACAAATGGTCCAAGTCGATGCCTTGCGACACTAGGATCTTGTTCAAAGTCGATATCTTGCTGGATTGACAAAATTAAGTAATATCAAGTACAGTACTACAAATAAGACACGTTTGGAGATAAATAAGTTGGTGAAATGAGTACCTAGCTATATAAAAACAGGAAAGGTAGTATTAATCAAATGAATAATTAAGTGCGTTTAGTATGTAGAAACAAGACCCTACTTTTAGTATAGGTTTCCAATGTGGCAAACCAAACAATGGGACGTGGAAGAGATGGCTATTATATTAGCGATTAGCCGTTGCCCACACCAATTTTGTTTGTAGTTGGAGGAGTGATAAAGTCATTGTTTGTTCACGTATATAGGCTGTATCTTTGTTAGATATAAAAGTATCGGTGTTTGTTTAACTAAACTGAAACGAGTTGTTGTAACTGGTAGAGATAATTATAATTTTGACAAATTAAAATTGCTTTGTTATATCTGTAAGTAACTCAAGTAGTCGATCAAAGTTATTAATAATTAGATAAAGTACTCACCGTTTACTGCCAGCTTCAGAGTCGTAGACATAAGTTCGGCTATGTTTATTGAGAGCGTAGTTAGTAAGGTGCATGAAAACGTTTGTCGTATTGTTCACGTTCGGATCAGCATAACGACTCGTTGCAAACCTGACGATTCAATAAACCAGAATTATGATAAGTAGGTAGTCAGACAAATCATTGAATCAAAATAACATCTCAATTTAGAAAAATACAGCTAATAAATTTTAACTCTCAAAGTGAAGATCACATTGGTTATAGTGGGTTTCTTATGTACGTTATTGTAGTATGTGGAATAAATGTATTTCTTCTATTTTAATGCTCGCTTTGTGTTAAAAAATATCTCACCTTACTAAGCCCTCGTTATAAACAAATATCCTAAGGGGATCACAGGATGTTATGAGCGTGTATACCCTTATGTCGAACTTGTAGCCATCTACTAGAAATGGCTTGGACAAGTAAACCTGAAAACAACATAGGTAATACGTTGGTACTGTAGGCAGCAAGTAGGTTGATTGGAATGTAAAACAAACTCTATATCGAAACGAATGATGTTCAAGAAAAGGAATGGCATAATAAAAAAAGAGAAGCGACGTCATCTTAAAAAAGTCACGGGTCGTAAAAAAAGTTAGTTTATGTATTGATATTATATTTTATTATATTAAAATAAATATCATGTTTGTGCAGTGTGAGTTTTAATATAAGGATTATTTATTATTGTGAAAGTAACGCCGACATAGCTCGGACAATTACAGTACACTTCAACTCTTTGATTACCTTTAAGTCGCTTATATTTTAAATCTATAGAAGGCTAATGATTTTTAAGTACCTGGCATATAAGTTTATCAGTGGGCTTAACATCCTTCAAGGATTTAGTCAGATAAATTCCGCGCCCTTGACTACCACATTCAGGCTTGATTATGAACGTTTTGTTCTTACGAGACTTACTGTAGTTGAGAGCTTCTCCAAAGCTGAAATAAAGATTCATTTGTGCTATTTCGAACAAAAAGGAAAGCTCAGATTCATATAGCATTAAATTTTTATCTCCATATGTAGACGATTTTATGGTTTATCGTATTAATTACAACGATGTTACAACTGGATTTCAGTAATAAATGTTTCATGATAATTTTATGCATGAATTTTAAAACTAGTGTTTTGAAACTTACTCTGCTGGCAAACACCAAGTTTTTGGGAAGAAGTTATATTCCTTTGGGTATATTTTCTGCATTCTATTCAAGTTTCTTGCCAACAGATCTTTCCTGCGGGAATATGCAAAGTTTTAATTAGCAAACAGTCAACGGACGGTCGTCGTATGGCTTCTGACCGGCTGCACGCGATGCAACCATAAATATTTTCAAGTTTCAACAGTTGCAAAATTTTAATTAAGCCTACGGTAACAATTCTCGAAATTTAAATTTTTGTATGGGAATTTACTGTGGGTGATTTTCCGTTATTTTCTGAGCGCTAGTGTGGTATTTACTATCTTGTTGTGTTTTGAGTAGAATGCCAAGCCTACATGGAAAAGGGAATCGGGTTCATGCTAGTAAGCGAATGAACTCCATTCACAATTTACCTGGGGCTAGTACTACAAACATGTTACCTGCATATTTCCAGCATGCCTGGGAAGTGGTTGATGCGTTGGAACCGCTTCATCTCTTTCGCGCGTTCCACCGAGACGCTCATGTCCGTCCAGTAGAAGTTCCACGCGTCCTCCTCTGACACCTCGCGCATTCCGAACGCGCTCGCTACCTTTCTGATCGACTCGTACCGACAGTTCGTGAGACATATTGAGATTTGAGATCTATTCGAAGAAGTGCAAACTTAACCGTATTGTAGTCTAATGGTCGGAGTAAAAATTAAACATAAGTCACTCCGAACAGTGCTGGATTTAACAAAGAAGCTGAAAAAGCTGAAGCTTAGGGCCGCAAAATTAGAGGAGCAGCAACTTTGGCCCAAAAAAATTTGGTACAGAAAAAAGGTAAGGCTGCGGGCCGCGGCGAGGCGGCGGCAGCAGCCCCTTCCCCACTCGTGCCGCCTCAGGGTCGGGAGGGCCTGCCGCTGCCGCCTCGGCGGTCTCGTGTCCTTTAGGTTCTTAACATACGTACACTCCTACCTACTTAACTGTAAGTACAAAAATTAATAATAAATGAGTATGTAAAATTACTAAACTTTTTACTTAAAAAATATTATTCCATATTTTGAAAAAATAAATATAATTAAAATTATTTGAAAAGACTTTTTAATTTGAAGATAAAAATAAATAATTAAGGTACGTATTTGCATTACGGCTAGCCTGCCGCCCTTGAGCGGGAACATGATATGACATGATCAATGCTCAAGCTACGCTACAATAACAGTATCGAGCATTACCTACCTACATATCCTCCTTAGCCCACCACACCTTTTAAGTAGTGCAGTAAAGACAAAGCTTTGCTTTTCTTAGCTTAAAAATATACCCAAAAACTTGTAAAATAATCTAGAAATTAGATTATATTAGAAGTGTCTCCTTATCTTCTTATCCTCTATTTTTAATTACAATATATAGATGCACTGACTTTGGGAATTGTAATTAACAACTTATAAGAGAGAAATTTTATAGCACCCAATACACTTTTTACTGACCTTTTTCTCTTTTTCTTCTTTCGTGTAGCTTCAATGGGAATGATTGGGGCAGCACGCGATGTCGGCTGTGACGTATCATCTTCCGCGCACAATTTCGAATCGTATTTCCTCATCAGCATCGTCGCCACACTTTCAGCTTGTTCTTTTTCCTCTCTAGCTTGCTGTTCTATGGTTTTCTCATCTGGGCAAGTTTTTTTAGTGGGACGAAATACCTCTTAATTTTGTTACGTTAGCTATCGAAATACTATTGAAAATGTCACTCCTACTTCCGAAGACATGAGTATTAATTATACTTATGTCTTTTTGATTGAAAAAGTTTGGCAGAGTTGTATAAAATTACTGAATGCGGCGATACAGCCAATACCAACTGAAGTGTACCGCAAGACTGCAACTTAAAATGAGCATGGGTGGCGACGAGTACCTAGTTTAGGTACCTACGGAGGTGAGACATGCACATGGTAGTTCGCATTGCACGTTTTACAACTTTACTGTATAACCTACTTTTCTGTGGAATGTATTCGAAAGACTACATCTTTATTATAAAACAACACAGGATCGTCACACTATAATGCAAGAAGCAGTTATACCAAGTGGATGAAATTTTTAATGTAAATTACTTACCTTGGATTTTCTCATTTTTTCTTTTGTTAGAAACAGAATATGTTTGTTTAGAACTTAATTGTGGATCTTCAGACAATAAAATGTCTTGTAATTGTAACTCCACCTTTGGAATGCAAGTTTAAGTTAATTTTAATTAGGTCACTGCAATAATCATGTCCAAAGAAAACAAAAATTGAGGCTCATACAAGACCAGCACCGCCTCGACTTTCGGTACCCACTCTTGTGAGTCTCGTGGTCGGTAAGTAACTTTAGTACTAACTGACCAACCTGATGAACAAGGGGGATGGTTGGATTTTTTTTATTCCTAACCGATCAGCCAGGTGGACAACTCAGGTGGTCGGTTAAGAACGCGGGTCTATGCCGACACGTGAACGTTTCGCGTAATCAACGCGTGGTATCAAGCGTAAAAGACTCGAGCACGACCTTTCCGCTATGAGCAAATGCGCCGAACGTCGATCATATATATTAAATGTTAGAAGCACGCCACGAAGAGAAGGCCACCACTAGCGTAAAATCCAGCCTATCGAATGCGTGCGGACCACAGACCTTTCGTCGCTGCGCTCGCCGCTAGGCCAAGTCGTGGCCGAGCAGTAATTCAATGATGATCTCGCATTAAGAAAGTTTTTACGAAGAAACTAATTGGACTACTTGTCCAAGTTAGATGGCGGCAAAAGTAGGTCCCTGAACTGAACCTAGCAATATGTCGGTAGGTTTTTGCGTCCACTCATGACAGTTTCTATCATTACCTACCCCAAGCACGAACTTCACAGATCATCCGTATTCGTATCGCCATCGTCAAAATTTCTATGGAAAAGCCAGTTTGTTCTTAAGTCCGGTAGGGAGGTTTCCAGCGGCTTGGTTGATTGACAGCCAGTAAGGATCTCACGCTGCCACCGCTGACAAGGAGGGCACATCCCGGAGTTTTAGTGGGTAGGGCCTCCCCGAGCAGCCGTTGAGCCAGCCCTAGGGTTGGCTGAATGGGTGGGCGGGAGGTGGGGGGAGGAGTCCCACATAACTTCGACGCCTACCTAGCGCCGGGTAATGCGTAACGCATTTCTCCCGATCAAAAAAAAAGGTTTCCAAACTTTGACGTTAGTGGGCGATCCGAATACGGATCTGTCAAAGTCCGTACTTGGGGTGCATACGTGGTGTCGATTCTGGCGTGCTTCTCTAAACTTAAAACTAAATTTAACATCAGTCTCTCCTTTTTATTCTGTATAAAGAATGCAAAGGATGCACTGTTGTCAAATTTAAGTTTCATCATCATCATCATCAGCCTATTAATGTCCCCACTGCTGGGGCACAGGCCTTCCCTATGGATGGAATAGGGAGATTGGACCATGACCCACCACGCGAGCCCAGTGCGGATTGGTGGGTGCTAACGAACGACAGCAGATGCAGCCGGGACCAACGGCTTAACGTTCCCTCCGAAGCACGGAGGAGCTCGAGATAGTAATTTTTGGTCACCCATCCAATGACCGACCACTGCGAAAGTTGCTTAAGTTCAACGATCGCAGCCGAACGCTCTAACCACTTGCGCCATCGAGCTCCTCTTAAAAAAATTAAGTTTAGCTTTAGAGAATCATGCCGGAATCGACATCATTATATTATTTAAATCACAACACTCTACAAGCGGTATGATTTTGTAGTTCGATCGAGGAAAAATTTTCTTTTTATTATCAACTAGGAGTGCTACTTAGAGCATGCTCTAAGCCTATCTAGGTTTCGGTGACCCCTACCGATTTTAACCCTGTTGATCACAGAGACATCATTGTAGGGATGTACGCCGTTAAAGAAGTCAATTTAATTTTTCGTGAAACCTTCAGATTAGGGGCCGTTCAAGTATTACGTAAGCAGATTTATTACAATTATTAACCCCTCCCCCCCCCCCCCTCCCATGTCATCAAAAATAAGCAAAGCAAAAACCCCCCGGCCCCCCTATAGTGCTTACGTAATACTTGAACAGCCCCATAACCATGTAAGTACGGTGACTTCTTCAAAGACCAATTTCTTCCTAAAGCGGCCCTCATTCTAAATGAACGATGATAACTACACCACAGAATTTTCATCAGGAATAAGACATAATTATTCTTTTATTTTACCACTGTCGGCGTGACTAATATGTATGGTATCATACAAAATTACAGCTTTCTAGACTTATTGACTCTGAACTAACTATGTTGCGTGTGGACGTACGTAACGAAACGAAATGAATTCCTTAATGACGCGGACGTCCTGCTTGAAACCCTTAAAATGTGATGTCAATGGTATTTAAATTTACAATGTAGGTACACAACTACTTGTTCTTAAGTGATAGGTAGCTATAATGTTAGTGACCATGAAAGTTTAAAACAATATACGTGTACTTATTAAGTAACTGAAGAATGTAAATGCGATATTATAATTTACCTCCATTTTCTTTTATGTTGTAAGAGTAAATAAGTTTAGTAATATGTTCGTGTTATTCAAACATTATCTAGCGATTAATAACTTCCAAAAGGACTGAGCAATGTATGGAGGCCTAAAACACAAACCAAAAATGAACTGCAAAAAAGAACGCAATATCATATTGATGTCTGTTTGATAGATTATTATTGTAAACTAAAAACAACACTAACCAAAATCGTTTTGGTTTAAAATCATTAAAATTTATCTGGAGACATTGTAGAAAACTGTTTTTTGTTTTTGATTCGTGTCATTTAGTTGCCAACGCAAACCTACAATGAATGATTAAGTACAGTTTGTCTATAAAGTCGTGACATGAATGTTTGAGGAACTAACATTATTCATGTATCTGGCAACACCAAACTTATGTACATCAGCTGTCATCGAGTTTCAGTTGTGGAACAGTTTTCCTTTTGTATTGTTTGGATTAAACTGTAATAAATTAAGACGAAACTACGCAAAAAGGTATAAAAATAAGTAAAGTAAATCGGAGTGGCACGCGGGAAGTGATTTTTAAAGTTTTCCAGCGATGTTTCGAAGTAGAAAGAGAGAGAGTAGTAGAAAGAGAGAGAAGTGTACTGCGGAGGATAATCGGGACCATCCTCCATCACAGCAAACATTGGCAAACATCGCAAGATCAGAATTCGGTTGGATACACGCACGGTCGAAATATACATAATATGACGTAAAACTGCATTCGGGAGCAAACTTTAAATTAAAGTATTTAAGCGTACTATCCTGAGATGTGGATAGTATATACTACAAAAGGGGGAAATCATAGTATAAATACTTTAATTATAGTACAAAATCCAACCCTGCTTATGGCAGGCTTTCAACAAATAGATAGTACAGAAGGCAATCTACATACAAAGTGCGCTCGAGCAACGCACACATTTAGTCTGTTCCAAATGAATTTGGACTAACGTAAACAAGGAAGTAGGTAAGTCTGACCATAGACAGTTTAGTGATGGGGATTCATAGAGCCTTATCAAAATCAATTAATCAATTGAATGATCTTATTCTTAGAAATTGTTAAATATCTTTTAAGGCTTCTTTGTCAGCCTATTAATGTCCCCACTGCTGGGGCATAGGCCTTCCCTTATAAGGCTTTATTTGTAGCATTAATAAATTCTTATCGTCATTACTCGAAAAAGAGCTTTAGCTGTTAACTGTATTTGGCAAAACAGTTAACTATGTTTCGTTACTTAATAAAGCTCTTTTTAAACATTGGTTTGCGTGATTTATTGAAAATCTAGTTTCATCGGCTAACGAGCTCGCAGTATCATCCTGTTGAACGTCCTGCATTCACTTTAGTTACTTCGTTCAACAAATATCAACTTTTACCTTTATTTAATAAACGTGAATATTACTATTTATTTTTATATAAAAAAACACTTTAAATCAAACAAATAAATTATGCATATTATGTTGGATTACGGATAAAAAATAAGAGTCTTCTTCAGTATGTAGAGTTGTGTATAATCAAATTAATTCAATTTATGAATATCCTTAAAAAAAATAAGATTTAGATAATTACCATATCAATGATTTCGATTCTAGTATGATTCTCTAAAGCTAAACTTAAATTTGACAACAGTGCATCCTTGTCCTTCTCTATACAGAATGAAAAGGTGAGACTGACCTTAAATTTAGTTTTAAGTTTAGAGAATCACGCCAGAATTGACACCATTAATGAATAGGCTAGTTGACCCTTTTTGGAAAAAGGTTTTAAATGGTTAATAAATGTTCTATTAGACCGAAAAAAAATGTATTGTATTTTTTTTAAACCTACAAATCTTTAATTTTAAAATAGTCTTTTCATGGACATACAAAAACGCTGTCGGCCATTTTAGTCTATAGATTATCTATGCTATGACGTGAACTGCGGTAAACAAAAACTCGTAAACACGTAGAAAATAACTTTTAACTGAGTTTATAATAAAAAAAAACATGATTTCTAATAAATACCACGAAAACTAAAGTAATTATCATTACTGTATTGTACGAGAATATAAAAACACATCCTTGAAGACTCCAGAAAAGTTGTGGATTAAAGTGCCGAAAGAAATTAACCTACGCAACTTTATTACACTTATTCATATGTTGTATCAGTTTTATGTTTATTACTACATTGTAATACTAAATGCACTCTACTTACATAGATGCCTTGTCGTTTCTCTGCTCCGCAGAGCAGAAATCGGGGTTTAGTGCAACAAATTCACCAACCATCAATGCGTCAATTCTTGGCAGATTTGTGCTTTCTGCTTTCACAAAGCCGGCATCCATAATTAGTTTTGTCAAAAAAAAACTAAGTTTACTGTTTTTTTCTTTCCTAAAGTTAAAAGTGTTTTAAGATAAAAGTCAGACGAAAGAATCCACCTACAGTAACACGCGAATGACATTTAGTTGTTTACCACAAGAGACGTCAAAATCATGGCGGATATGGCGAACAGCGTTTTCAGTGTTTAAAAAATATAGACTAAAAAATATTTTTTTAAATTAAATTTCTACAGCAATCTTCTGCTTTTATGAAGTGAAATCGATATATTAAGGTTCCTTAGACTAAATACTTTAAGAAATAAACATTTATTTAATATAATTCGACATGAGTAAACTAGCCTATTATCAAATATTTTTACAAACAAAACTGTAGCCATAATAATACTAAATACTCGAGAGAGAAGAAATCGAGATATCCACTTTTCTTTCTGACGTTATTATTTAAGTATGTTTTAAAAAAAGTTTATGAAAAGTAGGATAGCAACATTAATAAAACATATTGATTTGATTACTTTTTGTTTGGGTTGTCGATATAATTTCCTTGTTTGACAACCTGAATAATATATTCATAGTAATAAAACATACTTAAATGAACCTTTTTGTTATTCAATTTGTATAAAAAATCTACTTGACGTTTGAATGCTAGGCTAATCTGGAGATTTCGAATTTATTACAATGTCAATATTCTGACGATATTTCAAGTGTCCCAAATTACATAACCTAACTGTACTTATCCGTCAATTTATTTTTCAATTATATATTTATTTATTATATGGTTTACCAGTGTTTGTTTACACATTTCTTAAAACTATTTACAAGATTAACTATGCACTCTAGTGAAACAATCTATTAAGGTAAACACCGCATGCATTAAAGTAGACGTCAAATATAGGCATTAAGTTCATTACAATAATATTATTATTTATTTCCTTATTTATAACGTTGTTCTTTTTAATTATAAATACCAATACAGTTTCATATAACTATCAAGCTTAATCAGTTAGTTTGATGCCATGTTTGGGACAATATTTTTTTGAGCTTAGGAAGTGAATCCATAAAAATATCAATTATATCACTACAACCGTTAAGGACCTTTGAATGACCTTTATAATCAACTGTGCTCTAAGTAAATAAAAAAACTACATCACTTTCACATTTTAATATCCAGGAAACAATAGGCGAATAATTAAAATCCACACCATCCGTAATTGGCGAAATTAAGATTACAATAAAACCTAAAGAATAATAACAAGTTGCTCATATTTGCAATAACAAAAAGGTATGGAATTTATACTTAACATCAGGTAACAATAAAAAAAAAAATGGGTGCGTGAGAAGTTATCCTTCTTTGGCATCGTTTAAAATTAGTTTTTAATTGCATACAAATAATTAATTACAATAAATTAATAAAAAGTCTGGAAAAGGACACAGTCAATAAAGTTCAGTTTTAATTTGAAAAAATAAATAAATAATCAAAATATTCAATTAAAATCGCTACTGAACATAATTTATTAGAACATATGTGATTTGCACTTGTATGAAACTCAAACACGTATTCAGAATATACAAACTAGAAACATGTGGATAAATATTATAAATATGAATACCTATAACTGTTACTTTATTACAAAAAATAAAGATGTGGTTTTTGGTTCTACTACACCAATGGTCAAGAGATGGCGCTGTAGTCTCCTGAATCGCGCTTTGGTTCCGTTGTTCCAGATTAATAAATACTTTTGATAGGCCTTCACAATGCAGTCGTTAGCACCCACTAAATAGAGATTCTATTTCTATTTTGTTGGTAGATTTTCTTAATGTCCGGTAAACACAAAAGTAACGAAATGTTAAATTTTTGTGTTACAGTGATGCGCGCGCATCTTAAAATTTCACTCTCATCATTTTTTCATAACGCGCCTAAAGAAGTATAACTTCAAAAATGGGTTCTTTGAACTGTATTATTCATTATGTTACTTATCAATTCGATTAAATAATCGATTCACTATTTGATTACTAAAGTCAATTGAAATCATTTTGAATAGATTTTTGGGTGCAACCCTTTTCAAGGACAACAGACAATTTGACAGACCGGGCGCTGGTGAATTCAGCATCTGAGACAAGAATGACTTAAACATTCCGGTAAATTCTCTGACTCCGAACCCTGCGCGGGCAACCAGCTGCCTGCTGCCACTATGGCCACCCTGCTTAAATTACACTGTTTATTTCTCGCGCTTATTTCTGAGTCTGAACCCGCGTGCACTGTGGCCGTACCCTTAGTCCTCATTGCATCTGACATCGTAAAATTAACTCGAAGTGAGAGAAAAGGTCAAAAAAACACATTTTAATAATTTGTGCATTTTTGATAAATTTTACAGTGTCAATGGTGGCAATTCTGGGCTGATTCTCTAACCTTAAAACTTAATTTAACATTAGTCTCTCCTTTTCATTCTGTATAGAGAATGACAAGGATATACTGCTGTCAAATTTAAGTTTAGATTTAGAGAATCATGCTATAATCGACACCAATCTCAATTTTAAGATGGAAACATATTAAAATGACGTGGCGTGACGTGTTCTGTCGTGGCGCCGACTGCTTGCCACCGATTGCGCTAGAGCGGTGGTAGGGGTTATGACACGACACAACACAACATGCAAATGTGTTTATATACCGCGTGACTCGTGGCGCACCATCAAATGACATGAACAACCCGCGACCACTTGTTTTTCGAGTTTCTATGACAAAGAAAAGTTTTATATGACTCGAAGTGTAAATAATAAAAGGATCATATAATTAGAAATACTTTTTGGCAAGAAATTGCTAAAATATAAAAAAAAAATATTAACCCTTAACTTTCTTTTATATTTTTTGACCTTCTTAAAATTTTAATGAAAATCTTCGTTAAAATCACTATCCAAATCAGAAGAAAATATGATGCACATTGAAATTCTGCAAAGGTTTCATATATACTGTTGAGAAATAACCCCGGAGCACGCCACGCCACAACACATTAGTGTGCACACACGCCATCACGACAAGCACCACGATACGTAAGTATATTTCCACCTTAATTATACGCAATAAATGCCTCCACTAGAAGTGAGCGTTTAAGCTATAAGCAACTAAAAAAGTCTGCTTTTAAATAAAAGCACAACAGCATGCTTATAAATTGATAATCAGCACGCTTTTTGCTTAGTCCCGTCCACCATCTATTTGTACGTACAAAATTACTTGTATTAGTTTATTACCTAAAGCATGCTTTGACTGTCACTCCATCTATGTTTTATGGAAACCCATAGTGCTTAGTGACTAAAAAAGCATTCCTTGGTATTAAAATCGTTTATGAGCGTAAGCGACTGTAAAAAGCAAAAGCCAATTAGGCACAAGTGTGCGTGCGCGGAGTGCACTTTCGATGTGTTTTAAATTAAATTTACGAAAATTTCTTTTGTTTACATTAACTGTAGTGATCAAACATTTTTAATACGATTGTTGGGTGGATAAATAAACACTGTTAATAGATACTTGTGTAAATAATAACTAGTTATTTAATAATTCGATTTAATTCAGTGTTTTAAGTTTTGCGTAAATCTAATAATCACCTTATCCATTCTTAGCCACCTTATAAACAATATTTTCGAGAAGTATTACGCTAAGTTAAATGATTATTTAATAAAAAGACAAGGTATACCTTTATTTGTTTCGTGCCTTTTAGATGATTATGTTAAAATAGTCTTCATAGACGCGAGAGGTGGTGAAGGGGATGGTCATATTGGCATATCTACTTAGTCTGTGGGTATACAGTCGCGTATAGAGATGGAAAAAACGGCTTATTTCTTAAAAGCGTTTAAACGTTGTACTTTTTAAAATAAGCGCGCTTGAAAAAAAGCTTTTTCGTTTAAACGCTTATTGGCTTAAACGTTTAAAAGCATAAAAAGCGCGACGTTGTGTTGTGTTTTCGTTTAGGTATATCGTTTAAAAAGCGTGAAAAGTTTATTGTCGTTTTTAATGTGTTTAAGTGTTTTATTGCGTTTTTTATTAAAGTTTTTTTAAACCTGATGAATTGATTGGCATTAAAAACGAAAGATTTTCAATTGAATTTAGATTTTATAATAAACATTTTTATAATCGTCAATGAACTTTCCTTCGTACTTTACAAGCTTAGGACTGTCTGGAGTTAATATACTCGTGATCCAGGCGTACTTAAAAGTTCATTGATTTTATATACATACTTTTAACTATTTTATATGCACATTAAACCAATACACGAAACGCGTTAACACAAGCAAGCTTGCAAACACACCGTACAACACCCACGCGCTCTTACCCCGTCACAGTGACAAGCGTACTGCTTTTCGACTTCGTTTAATTAAACGCTTTAACGAAAAAAGCGTTGGTTATCCGACCAAATTTTAAAAAAGTGCATTTTTTTACGTTGCATTATAATAATTCGCATGCTGTATTAACCGGCTCACGAAAGATGGCACGCCGACGCGGCGCTGTAGTCGCGCGTTCTATGTCTGTGATATTGTGAAATATTTAGTTCCAAGGAATTCCGCGTACCCATTTTTCGATACTGTAGTGGACTAGAAGGATCGAAGTATGTAGTTTCCTGGCAAAGACATAGATGGCGGGATTTGCACTTTTTAAGTAAAAAATATACTTGCACTTTTTTAAGTGAAAAGCTTACTCACACTTTTTAAGTGAAAAGCTTATAACGCTTATACTTAAAAGCGTGCTTACCAGCTTAATATTTTAAGCGCGCTTATTTAAGCGCTTTTCGTTTAAACGCCCACCGCTAGTCGCGTATGTGATCGAAATCTAACCACGATCGTAAATCGGCTCAGTTTGGGGGAGGCTTAAAATTGCTCTGTCTTTGGATTGGTGTTTATATTTATTGACTTGGCAATCCTAACATTATTTTTTAATTTTACATTCATCTCTAATTTGACGCATAACGTCAACGTAAGTAATCCGTCAAATTCTATGTGAAGTGCTTGTACAATAATTTTGCTTATCCGCCAAAGTACAGAGTCATTCTAGAATAACTAAAATGGCAGAAGGCCAAGAAGAACCTAAAAAAATCACTATAACAGTAAAAACTCCAAAAGAGAAGCAGCAAGTTGAAATTGAGGAAGATGCCGATATCAAGAAAGTGAGTACAAGCACCGCCAGAAACCTTGCCCGTGGCGTAATAACACAGATATTGCACACGCAATCATTGACGACATTTATTTAATTGTGTCTCAATGAGCTATTTATTAATATGTTTGCAGTTGAAGGAGGTTTTATCGCCAAAGTTCAGTGCTGAACCGGAACAGTTATGTCTAATCTTCGCCGGGAAGATTATGAATGATGCCGATACTTTGAAACAGCATAACATCAAAGATGGGTTGACAGTGCATTTGGTGATCAAAACACCCCCTAGACCAGAGCCCGAAGGTGCCGCCCGAAGACCACCAGGTTATAAATTTCCATTATTCTTTAATCTTAAAAATGAATTGTCTTTATGCAAAAGATTAAACATTGCATGAGATAAATAGGTTTGTTTCTTTTTCTCTATAGCATTTGGTGTAGTTCATATATGTGTAAAGTATGTACATGTATTTAATTATTTTAAAGAGGTTCTGCTGTAATTTATATGAATATTGAGGTTAGAAAGACTAATATTTATAGGATTTATTTTAATGCACAAGTGTATGACTGTGTTACTTGCTATAAATTTGAGCACACATTTACAATTTAGTGGTAATTAAATACTACTTAGTATACTGCAACAAAAGATCATATCATTGGTCATCTATTCTAATTTTTTTTATTTTTCAGCTGATATTGGTGCCACACCATTCGGTCTAAACTCCTTGGGCGGCTTGGCTGGCCTAGAAAGCTTAGGGCTTGGACAAAGTACCTTTATGGACTTACAGGTATTTCTTGCGCATTAGTCATGTGTATGTGATTTTTTAGTCATGTAGCTTACTGCAAACATTGTAGGTAAAATCATAGAGTAAATTGTGCAAAAAACATTTTTACATGTAAAATTACTAATGTGCATGCTATGTTATAAATAGGTTAAATGCAAGATTTTTGGTAGGGTATAAACTTGGAATACTATAATCACTGACTCTATAAGTTATAAATAATACAGATTATTTAATTTTTATTAAAATGTCTATACCTAAACTCTTCAATTCAATCAAGTCTATTATTATTACTATATTCAATATCTCACAGCTCTTTTTAAATTTAGAATTAGTTCATGTACTACAATAAATTGTCATTGTACAGCTACAAACCCAGTATATCGAAATGAGTTGACAATACAACTGAGCTCTGTTTATCTGCCAAAATCAGTTAATATTTTTCCATCAATCCACCAATGTGAAAATTATTTCTAACCACAATGGATTAATAGAGACATATTAATTATTACTGGATTTTCACAGACAAAAAACTGAGTCAATTTGTATTTTGGTTTACCGGGTTTTCACTGTACAACAACAAAAAAAATACATTTTTTTTCCTGTAGGCCCGTATGCAGCAAGAGCTTTTGTCCAATCCTGATATGCTTAGACAAGTGTTGGACAATCCCTTGGTGCAGCAGATGATGAATGATCCAGAGAATATGCGTACCCTCATCACCTCAAACCCTCAAATGCAGGACTTAATGGCTGTAAGATATAATTACACATACACAACACTTTGACCAAATTATTGCTTGTATTGAATCTTGAGTTAAATAATATCTGCTCTGATTAACTTGTTTATTTATAAGTACAACTTCAAATGTATATTTTTCATGAGAAGAAAAATTTCACTTAGATCCTACTAAGTTGGCCATTTCATAAGTAAAACAAATAATTATTAATATTTCATTTAATTGTGCAACTTGCAATTGTATTAAAAGATAATTCATTTCATGTAAGCACTGTTTTATCTATGCTAAAAAAATACTTATTGTTGTTGATTCTAAAATATCAGCATTTTTACTCTACCCATATTCTCCCTCTTTAAGCTAGCCTCTGGTCATCCTTGGTAAAAATGAAATTTTATCATCATGAAGTCTGTTCTACATACTTTTTATTAATTTCATATTTATGTTTGCTGCAGAGAAATCCAGAAATCAGTCACATGCTTAACAACCCAGAACTATTACGACAGACAATGGAACTGGCCCGCAACCCTGCTATGTTACAAGAATTAATGCGCTCCCATGATAGAGCATTATCTAATTTAGAAAGTATCCCTGGTAAAGATAATTTTGACTGGAAATTTAATATTGTATTAAAACAAGCAATGGTATTAATTTTTTATTATTTCAGGTGGATACAATGCCTTACAAAGAATGTATCGTGACATCCAAGAACCAATGCTGAATGTTGCAAGTAATATGGCTGGGAACCCATTTTCTGGACTTGTGGATAACTCTGGTTTGTAGTAGCCTTAGGCACTGATTAGGACAAATACATCACTCATATACAAAAGTAAAAATCGTGGTGTGAACTGTGAAAATCGAAGTGGTGACGTCACACACTAGTGAGACAACAATGTCCAGAAAAACATTTTCGTGGCGACTTGAAATTGAATTTAGTTTTTTTTACTGAATTATACAACAGAATTAAAAATATCACCTTTTTATGGTCTCCATAAACTTTAGTAAATAATGTGAAATTGTTTTCTCAAACTTGTCAATTACCCTATTCCTACTACATTAGCATACGTAGGTTCCGCTCTCAGTTACTAATTTAATACGTCCATCATGATGATTTATTAAGTTTGTATTTTACCTCCATCTACGCAGACGGCACCAACCCGCAACAGGGTGCCGAGAACAGGCAGCCTTTACCCAATCCCTGGCAGCGCGGGGGCGGGGGCGGAGGCTCCGGAGGCGCCGCCCCAGGCACCGGGGGCGCGGGCCCGGGGCTCATTAACACGCCGGGCATGCAGTCGTTGCTGCAGCAGATGGCCGAGAACCCGAGACTGGTGCAGTCGATGCTCTCCGCTCCATACACTAATAGCATGCTGCAGGCCCTCGCTGCAGACCCTGATATGGCCTCCCAGCTAATCAACCAGGTGATTGATAGTCATTTGTTTTTCAACGCATTCACAGTTTGTTTGCCAACTAGTCGTTGCTGCAGCAGATGGCCGAGAACACGAGACTGGTGCAGTCGATGTTCTCCGCTCCATACACTAATAGCACGCTGCAGGCCCTCTGCAGACCCTGATATGGCCTCCCAGCTCATCAACCAGGTGATTGACAATCATTTGTTTTTTTTTTCAAAGCATTCACAGTTTGTATGCCTACTAGTTGTTGCTGCAGCAGATGACCGAGAACCCGAGACTGATGTAGTCGATGTTCTCCGCTCCATACGATAATACCAAGCTGCAGGCCCTCGCTGCAGACCCTGATATGGCCTCCCAGCTCATCAATCAGGTGATTGACAATTTTTTTTTTCAAAGCTTTCGCAGTTTGTTTGTCAACTAGTCGTTGCTGCAGCAGATGGCCGTGAACCCGAGACTGATGCAGTCGATGCTCTCCGCTCCATACACTAATACCATGCTGCAGGCCCTCACTGCAGACCCTGTTATGGCCTCCCAAGTGATCAGTTGATTGACAATAATTCAATTCAAAGCATTCTCAGTTTGTAACTAACTAGTCACTGCTGCAGCAAATGCCTAAGAACCTAAGAAAAATATTTTTCAATTGTTTTTTCTATATTTGATTACCAACTTTTTTGTTTGTTGTTTAGCTTTCATGTTTGGTGTTATATACAGTAAATATTTTGTGAGATTTTTTCCTTAGTTGCGTGCGATGATATGGATTTGTAGCTATACTTAAAAAGTTTAATATACATATATAATTCACTTTGACTTGCATTGATAATGGTATGTCTGTGCAAGGTGCTTGTTATCAACTTTTTTAAAGTTAAAAAAGTGGCCAACAAGCATATGGCCCGCCTGATGGCAAGCGGTCACCATAGGCTATATATGCTATAGACGATTGCGATACCAAAAATATAAATCGCGCCATTGCCTACCTTGACCCAATTCCCTACCCTGTAGAACCCTGAAACCTTACTCACCAACATAAACACAACGTTATTTTACTGTGGTCTTCTATTAGGTGGAGGTTACCTTGGCGCCTTAATTTGAGCGGGAAATCCGCTATGCCGTTACTCTCTTGAACTTCCTTAGAGTGTTTATTTTCTTACAATGGTGACGAAATCGGCATCTAACAACCTAAATTTCGCCTAAATAGCGAAGTGTTTACATTAAACTATTATATTTTCTTGTAAACAGAATCCTATGTTCGCGAACAACCCTCAGCTCCAGGATCAGATTCGCACGATGATGCCACAGATGCTCGCTCAACTGCAGAACCCGGAGATGCAACAAATGATGTCCAATCCACAGGTGAGTGTTAATATTTATCTTGCATCTTTATACAAGCCGTAAGTTCTCTATGTCTGTTTAACATGGTTTACATTGACGTATACAAAATAAGTAAACTCACAATAGCGCTCAAAATGTGTCGGAAGCAAAATTAAGCACATGCCTATTGTGCGTAATTTTTAAGTAGTCGTGTTTCGACCGCACTTTGATTACAACGCTACGCAATGATAAAGTATTCCGTTAAAAACTGCAAATTACACCAGATCCACATATAAAAAATATGAGTGTGGGAATCAGGTAAATATTTAAGTGGTGGTGGGTTTGTAGTTAAAATAAATGTGTATAATTGAACAATAATTTAAGAAATACACGAAAAGATGGTTAATAAATCAACTGCTTAGGTAATAACTTTTTGCTCAATGTAACAAGTTATTTTTAGCTATGGACCATCAAAACTTTAAAGTGCTCGGTGGGCCGATAAATGTGTGTGGAAGTGTATTTGATGACTGGTTGTTGTGAAAATTGCTTACCTACCATCATCGCAGACTGAACCCATTAACCACTGGAATAGGAAGATTGGGCCATGCCATGACCCACCACGCGGTCCCAGTGCGGATTGGTGGGTGCTAACGACTGCAGATGCAGCCGGGACCAACGGCTTAACTTGCCTTCCGAAGCACGGAGGAAATCGAGATAGAAGAATTCAATGACCGACCACTGCGAAAGCTGCTTATCTTCAACGATCGCAGCCGAACGCGCTAACTACCTGCGCCATCGAGCTCCTCAAGCTGATTTTGCTCATGAGGCTGATGATAATGATGTATTTTGTTTGTGGCAGGCGTTGAACGCGTTGCTGCAGATTCAGCAAGGCATGGAGCAGCTGCGCACCGCGGCGCCGAGCCTCGTCACCAACCTGGGGCTGGGTGTGGGTGCCGCCCCCGCCGCCCCGACCCCGCCCGCCCCCGCCGCCGCCCCGCCGCCCCAGCAACGCCGCCACCAGGACACTGAGCTGTTCACGCAGGTACAGCGCCGAGCCTCGTCACCAACCTGGGGCTGGATGTAGGTGCCGCCCCCGCCGCAGTCCCGACCCCGCCCGCTCCCGCCGACGCCCCGCCGCCCCAGCAACGCCGCCACCAGGACACAGAGCTGTTCACGCAGGTACAGCGCCGAGCCTCGTCACCAACCTGGGGCTGGGTGTAGGTGCCGCCCCGCGGCACCGACCCCGCCCACCCCCGCCGTCGCCCCGCCGCCCCAGCAACGCCGCCACCAGGACACGGAGCTGTTCACGCAGGTACAGCGTCGAGCCTCGTCACCAACCTGGGGCTAGGTGTAGTTGCCGCCCCCGCCGCCCCGACCCCGCCCACCCCCGCCGTCGCCCCGCCGCCCCAGCAACGCGCCACCAGGACACGGAGCTGTTCACGCAGGTACAGCGCCGAGCCTTATCACCAACCTGGGGCTGGGTGTAGATGCCGCCCCGACTCCGCCCGCCCCCGCAGCCGCACAGTGGTCTGAAAATCTAGCTTCATACTCATAGAAATTTAATGTCTGAAATTAATTAAAAAAATGGATTGGATTTAGTATTCATCCCTCTTTTTAAGTACATTATAGTATGAAGGGTATGCGTAGTACCACGCCTGAGATTTTTTTTTTTGGGAGAAAACAATTAAAGTGCATTTTTTAAAACTGAATGGAACTGAAAGGCTGGTACTCATATGAGCTATTGCACCTTACACGGCGAACCAGATGACGTATAATATTATCAGTATATGATTTTTCAAATGTTTGATGCTGGGTACTCTTATTTGTGAAGTTATAAGAATGTGCCTTTGAATATAATAATATAAATTTTCATTCATATAATAAGTAATAAATAATTAGTAATTATATTATTTATGTAAAATACGTTAATACAACAACATTACACACTAACATTAGTAAAGAAAAGATGATAAAAATACCAGTAAAATCAGAGTTGAAATTTTTTTAAAGGCTCAATTACAGACTTGAGAAAGGTGAACATAATTGACATACAGCGTTAATTAATCTTAATTATGCACAGTATTTGCTAAATAATTAACAGTTAACATAGATAACGTTTTAATTTTATATTTTATTTAATTGTTAATCGAAAATAATTTAGTTTTGATAGTTACAAATAATGTAAATATACAAGGGTTAATTTAAAATTATTACAACTATTTACAGCTAATTATATTTATATGTATTGATAATATTATTTACAACAGCAATAATAACTTTATACAAAAAAAAATATGAGAGAGTAGCTTCGCCATCATCAAAATCGTCTAAATCCGAGTCCAGCATTGACGCATTAACATCGACAAATTCAATGTTCTCTTTGTCTGCATCGTCACAAATGAGCAGAGGTTTCATATCATCCGTAATAGCTGTGTTTACAGATTTTCTCAGCACAGGTCTTGTGCTGGACAAAAAAAGATCTGACGAGACAATGGTCTCCTCATTGAAAATATCTTCGTTTGTCGCTTTTCTACTAAATTATCGCGAGTGATGTTCTCGGATTTTCTTTTAAGTCTTTTTTCTGGCTTCCGATGTCTCTTTAGATAATTTGCCAATAGGCATAATATTGATGTGTTCAATAACTTCAGCACCATGCAATAAAAGCTTGTGGACACTCGAAGGCATGTGGTACCAGCCATAGAGCTCCACGTACATTTCTGCAGTGTGGCGTGCAAAAATGCCTCAACATTTATGGGCCCTCCACAGGCTATCCCACGCAAAAGTGTTGCAAATCTTTGGATCAAACTGGAATCCAAACCTGTGATAGCTGCAGTTTTGGCAGGATCACATAAAATTTCCTCACTGTGTTTCCATCATTTGTGTTTCCGGAACCTGAAATAAAAAACAACAGCTTTTCAAATAAAATAACTAGTGTCATTTGAAAAAATAAGGTTTAAGAACAACATCTATTACTTTAACTCACCTTGCTTAACAATGTCTACTAGAAGGCCCATTTCATCACGGAACTTCTGCTTAATAATTAGTTTTCTACCTTTCAATGAGTCTTTGCTGCTTGGATCTCTGGCTTGCCATGTTTTGAAGTCCAGTCTATACGAAATATGGATTAGACACTCCATACTCCTGACCTAAGCATGAAGTGTAGATAAACCATATTGATATATTTCCGTTGAGACAGGTTACCTGGAAAGAAAGTAAATTAATTAATAAAAAGATACAGTAGCAAGCTGCAATTATTTTATCAAACTATTCAAAACTCACACTGAGATCTTCTCTAACTTATTCATTTCCGAAGGTGTAGCTTTACAGATGTCACAAGTCTGCGTTGAGGTTTTTGATAGTTGTGAAGTGATTTTGCCATCTATCGTAGTCATAAGCATTGAGTGTTTAACAGTATGACTTCCCATAATAGGCGGTTCCAGTGCTGTAATCTCAGCTTCAACCAAAGCCTGTTCTTCCGTAATATTCATATTATTTTCATTAACAAAAATGAAAAATAATAGTGGCCTGCAGAACATTGTGGAAGATGGCTTTGGATTCTCCCATATCTTTACTTCGCCACAAACTAAGCGTAGAGGCACAAAATAACACATAAAAATGCTGGAATCATCTTCAGCAGTCATAGTTTGCTTGTACAAACTTTGCCCTGAAGCACCATCAAAGCCACACTTGCATATCAGTGTTAGCTCTTTGCCATCCAGTGAAAATTCCAAACGTAGGAATTTACCAAGTCTAGTAACAGTTTTGTCCAAAATCGCTTGAAGCTTTATTTTACCCCTCTTTCTGTGATTTCTATGGCACCTTTTGGTGGGTAGCAGTCCGTCTTCGCCTCTAAGATAGCTGTATATGAAGGATATAATGGTATTCCTTCTTCTTTTGCACAAGCTCTTAATGTTGTATACTACCACTTAGAAAGTTTCAACGAGGTCATTAAACCTAAACCTTCATCGGCGAATAAATGGATACAGTTTTCTTGGACTTCAATAAATCCTTTATCTTTGTTGCCTCTTCAGGATGCTCTGTGACCAATTTTATTATATCTGCTACATTCTTGTTTTCTGCACTTAAGCCAGTTGCATAAGCAAGGCTTTCAGTGCTGTGCTTTAGGAGCTCGTCCACTCTTCTTCTCTTTTGTAGTGGGCTTAGCTCAGTAAACGCTTTTCTTTGACTCGCAACTGATGTTGATGTTCCAACACTGCATCTCTCTGGTTTGTATGATGTTGATGCACCCTCATTTATACCGAAGTTAGAACTCGAACATGGTTGTTGCATTACAGACCCTAAAGAATTTGTCATCTTCTGCTTCATGAACTCGGGCCATTTTATGTCTTCTTGCAGCCTTGTCTCATACTTCTTTATGAATGTGTGTCTCGTACGATTGCATGAGATCCATTTATTCCTCAAAGAACACACATAAGTCTGGCAGAATTGTTTCAATTCTTTATTTTCATTCGCTGTCAAAACAACGGCATTCTCGAAAACTTCAAATAACACACTGGACTGTGAGAAACAGCTATTGTATGCAACAAACATGAAAATATCTAAATTGGTACCAAAACCTTCCATTATATTACGGGAAAAATCGAAACTTATTAAGTATAGTAAGCGCGCACAAGTGCAGAAAGTGAAGTTAGCCAAATCACCCTATTTATTTGTAACTACCCTCATTAAGCAACAAACAAGGGGCAACAAGCCCCATTTATGATTATGTTATAAGTAGCTAATTAAAAGTCAACAATAATGAGAGTAATTACCAAATGAGTTACTTCGTTGAATAAAATTGAAAGTAAGAAAACATAATAATCTTTTTTCTGTTATTATCACTATTAAAGGTCTTTAATAGGTCATTAACTAACGACAATATCAGTAATATAGTCGGTTACTTCATTTAATTACGTTAAAGATTTGAAAAGTTATATACTGAAAATTCCAAATTTTCAAAGGTTGGTACATGCAAAGCGGCATCGAAAGGCACAAGTATTATGTTCACCGTGTAAGGTGCAATAGCTCATATGAGTTCCCTTTCAGTTCTATTCAGTTTAAAAAAAATGCACTTTAAGTGATTACTCCTACACAAAAAAAAACTAAATATTTTTTTTCTCAGGCGTGGTACTATTCATACCCTTCATACTATAATATTAAATAGGGAGCTATACTAAATACAAAACTTTTTTTTTTATTAATTTCAGACATTAAGTTTCTATGAGTATGGAGCTCGATTTTCAGACCACTGTGCGCCGCCCCGCCGCCCCAGCAACGCCGCTACCAGGACACGGAGCTGTTCACGCAGGTACAACGCCGAGCCTCGTCACCACCCTGGGGCTGGGTGTAGGTGCCGCCCCTGCCGCCCTGACCCCGCCCACCCCCGCCGTGGCCCCGCCGCCCCAGCAACGCCGCCACCAGGACACGGAGCTGTTCACGCAGCTACAGCGCCGAGCCTCGTCAACAACCTGGGGCTGGGTGTAGGTGCCGACCCCGCCCACCCCCGCCGTCACCCCGCCGCTCCAGCAACGCCGCCACCAGGACACGGAGCTATTCACGCAGCTACAGCGCCGAGCCTCGTCATCAACCTGGGGCTGGGTGTAGGTGCCGCCCCCGCCGCCCCGATCCCGCCCGCCCCCGCCGTCGCTCCACCGCCCCAGCAACGCCGCCACCAGGACACGGAGCTGTTCACGCAGGTACAGCGCCGAGCCTCGTCACCAACCTGGGGCTGGGTATAGCTGCCGCCCCCACTCCGACACCCATCGTTTGTTATGCACACTGGTACATCAAGGTATGAAGTTGAGCAGTATTACCACCTGTAGTTGTTATTTATATAAATCATAAAGATAATTTGAGTTGATTGCACGCTAAAGTTCAAGAATTTGTAGTGACCTGTCGTCTTTATTAGATGTAAGAGAATAAGTAGGAGTTGGTGATCTTATTAGGAATATTTTCTTAAGTTCGACTGTAACCTATATCATTCCAACGCATAAAGCAACTCGGAAGGGTGGTTATGGGAAGCTATAGCGATACACAAAAAATATTTAAATCATTCTGCTATTTTTTGCAGGTGTGTGTGTGTGGGATCGTTTGTATGCTCGATTCGATAGAGGAAAAAGCTGTGTACGCCGTGTTGCTCTATGTTTTAACGGTAGCTAAAGTAGACTTTAGAAGGGATTTCTTTCCTAAAACTAAACTTTCGGCTTGTCAACAGTTCATGCAACGCATGGTGTCTGCAATGTCCAACAATCAGACGAACACACAGCAACCTCCCGAACAACGCTACTCACAGCAGTTGGAGCAACTGGCCGCGATGGGATTCCTCAACCGGGAGGCGAATTTGCAAGGTACGTAGACATTGAAGTATTCCAAATTCGAAATAATTTAGAACTGTAGACGTTTTTGTATATAAAAAGGTACTGCGCGAGCTCGGAACGCAACATTAAAAATGAACTTAATTAGCATACTGTTAATTTTCTTGTTTCAGCGTTAATTGCTACTTTCGGCGACGTGAATGCAGCAGTAGAAAGGCTACTCGCACTAGGTCAGTTGTCTATGAGCTAACACTCACGCGCATAGACAAATGTCACAAAATGCCGCCGCTCGTTACGTCACTGATCGCTAACCGTGGATTGAGACCGGTATTTTATAAAGCAGAATGTGTTAACTTGTCTACACAGCTTAGGACAAATTATAGCTTATTGAAAAAAAAATACACGAAGAAACCACATGAAAAAGCGAACACCAATCATCGTATCTCTATCCTTTCCTCTCATCCCTTTTGTAATGAAAGATTCAACCTTTTTTCATACTTATGGGTACTTCTTACTTAGAACAAGAACTTTGACAGATCCTTTTTCGTATCGCCATCGTCAGTTTCTATGGGAGGAGCTAGTTTGTTCTTACGTCCGGTAGGAGCGCTGCTTAGTCTCCATAGAAACTTTGACGATGGCGATATGAAAAAGGAATACGGGTCAAAGTTCGTGCTTGGAAAACTAATTTTCTTCTACTTTACTCAAATTTGTTGGTGTATAGCTAAACAGTAAACGATTAAGTTATTTTAGTATTCAGCGACGCAACGAGTAAACGGCTGCCTAAAAAAAATTGCCATGTAAACACATTCGCAAATTCCTTATAATATCAACAAGGAAACGTAAGTTTTGTAATATTAAAATATTCTTTCTATTTCACAGTAATTTCGATTCCATTCCTTCTTGTGTTATGCAAAATTAAAGGGGTATTCATTTTGTTTACCTACTAAAATAATTGTAAGAAATATATGTTTCTTTCTATGTTTAATTTAATCTATTTTGCAATGGTTTGTTTATTGTGGGCAACTAATAGTGGTGAAAGAACTTCTATCATTGCAATAAAATTATGTAAATAGTTTGCTTCGCAAAAGAAGAGTAATTTTACAATAATACATGAAATTGCTCTTTTTTATAATCATACGTGACTGCACACAATCCGCGCCTAAATGTGCTCTATGACTTAAATAAAATAGAAATATTTTTCTTTGGCATAAAGTCTTATACAATTATTACACTAGTAAGGTATGTATATCTTTTAAATATTTAAACTAGAAACTGAAGAAATTGCAGTGGTTTTAATTTGTGGCGGTTATATAATATTTTAATCAAAGGTTTTCTTTCTAGCTTATTATTATAGTGGTTTTATAGTAATTAATTAAATTTAAGTTGTAAAAATATGAAGGACTACTGTTTTTAGAGAAATATTTTCATTTACCCAGACTTGGCTAGAACACACTTTCGTGTAATTAATGATGAATTGTAAGAAACCACTTTATACTACTTATAGCAATGATGATGGGTGCATACTTGAAGTAAGCATTGAAAGTGTGGAAGTTATGTGTTATTTGTCATATACTGTGCAAAGTTGTTTATTCGCAGTAATTGTGAAATGATTGTTTTCACAGTTTGAGTCAATATCAAACAAATTTAATTGCTAGGTATAATCATGGTTCACGCCTTGAAATAAGTTTCATAGTCACACTAGAAGAAAATATTTTGCAAAATTTTTAGTAATTGTATAACAAACATTATTTATTAAGGCGTGCTGTGATGTAGTCTCCATAGTTAGAATTGTCTGAAATCGTATGAATCTGGGTGTAACACTATGTGACAGAATGCAATTATTATAATTAAACTTGAAAAAAAAAATGTTTCATTTATGTCTTTTTTCCCGTACTACGTATACGTGGGTAGATTTAATAGTTCGCGTCCTCGCCTTTAATTACTTAATATTTGTGTAAAACTAAAGACCTAATTCCCAAAAGGTAATAAAATACCTAAGACTTAATGAGGGTGTTTATGAAAATTTACGTCATCAGTTGGCGCTACTGTGACGTGAGGTCTTTTGTATGAAGTTTTTAACGCCAACTCCATAGACCAGATTCATAGACTATGAAATCATATGCGATATGATGGATGATTAGACCTTTCGTCTCAGTACTGCCACCTGGCCTGTAATTCCAAAAAACCTTATTCCTAAAAAGAAATAAAATATCCGAATTTTCATACTTAACCCAAATTTCATTTACTAATTTCTAGATTTATATTTTACAAGCTGCAGAATATTCCTACAACCAGTCATCCTATAGTTTTACCCTTTAGGCTCAGTTTATACTGCGGCGGAATGGAGTAGAACGGAAGCGCCAATTCCGCCTCATTGCGCGAGAAAGCGCGAAAATTCACGGCAATGCTCGAGAATTCTCGCGACTGCACTTTGAGGGAGGATCTAGCTAGAGTCTAGACTTACACGTCCGGACGTTAAATGGTTAGTCTAGATCCTGTTTCGTAAGTAGAGGCTTGATACCACACTACCGCGACAGACCGGCTAGCCGACTTTCCGCGGATTCCACAGACAGCCGGCAGTCGCTAGGGGAATACCTCGAAACCATACATAACCGAAATACGAAATCATACTTTACTAATAAACAATAGACATAAAGTTATATATGTACCTAATAAAATATTTCTGTTGCATAAATTCGTTTACATTCTATTCCGCGTCGGTATAAATTGAGCCTTAGGAAATGAATTCCCAAAGAAATGTTAACTTGTTTCCCTGTAGACAAACCTACACAGAAAAAGTTGCTATTATTGTCCCCTACAATTTTGGAAATACCTTTCTTAGGGGATACCTTTGTTATAATACGTACTGCGTACCAAATTCAGCACGATCCGGTCGGCGGTATGAGCTATGTTGTTATTGATTTGATTGCCTTTTATTTATAGGATGTTCCATATGCAGCGAAAGTATTTGTTATTTTACTGTACCGATCGAAAGGCTCGAAGCATGCTTGCATTGCACAAACTTCCTTGAATGAATATGCCGCTGATGCTACGGGGAATCCCTGTTGGGGTGGGGCCGCTTGCGAACATTCACCTGGGTTCAAGTTCACCTGGCGGCCATTCCCAATCCCAATACTACCACATCCGCACTCTCGCCATGCACCTTATGACGACGTTGTTTGGTCATCTCTCTCTGGTAGGTATCCGACGTCAGCAGATATTATGTCTGCAACCAATCCGTTTTTGTGGGTTTGGTTTTTTTGTTGTTTTTTTTTCGCAACATTGGGTTTCAGCGCGAACGTCCGGGCGTGTCTGTCTACACGTCACACGACGCATCTGTAGTATCGGACTCACTGAGCAAGTAATCTATATCGGAGCGATTGAGTGGCCGCGTGCTTGCAATTTTAACATTGGAAGTGTTTTTCGTTCGCTCCAGTAGGCCATTTCCGCTGAAAGTGCGACTCGTATGAGTATGAGAGCTCAAAAGACGCTCAAGGGCTTTTAGAAGATGTAAAAAATATTTTGGAAAAGTCAAAAACCTTTTTTGGAAATCGAAAAATAACAACTTTTTGAAGTTATACTTCTGTAGGCGCGTTATGAAAAAATGATGAGAGTGAAATTTTAAGATGCGCGCGCATCACTGTAAAACAAAAATTAATTAACAAAAAATGTAAAACAAAAATTAACAAAAGTAACAGCATGCTGTTACTTTTGTGTTTACCGCACATTAAGAAAATCTACCAACAAAATAGAAATAGAATCTCTATTTAGTGGGTGCTAACGACTGCATTGTGAAGGCCTATCAAAAGTATTTATTAATCTGGAACAACGGAACCAAAGCGCGATTCAGGAGACTACAGCGCCATCTCTTGACCATTGGTGTAGTAGAACCAAAAACCACATCTTTATTTTTTGTAATAAAGTAACAGTTATAGGTATTCATATTTATAATATTTATCCACATGTTTCTAGTTTGTATATTCGGAATACGTGTTTGAGTTTCATACAAGTGCAAATCACATAATATGTTCTAATAAATTATATTCAGTAGCGATTTTAATTGAATATTTTGATTATTTATTTATTTTTTCAAATTAAAACTGACCTTTATTGACTGTGTCCTTTTCCAGACTTTTTATTAATTTATTGTAATTAATTATTTGCATGCAATTAAAAACTTATTTTAAACGATGCCAAAGAAGGATAACTTCTCACGCGCCTACATAAGTACACGCACCCATTTTTTCGACCGAAATGTGTTTTTACAGAAAATTTCTGATATCTCGAGAAGGGGGCCGAATTTCAAAAATATGAAAAAAAGCACCTTGGTATTGAACCAAGGACCATTTAAGTTCACTAAGTACACTTTTTTCGATATTGGTGACGGTTGAGGCTGTAGATGTGCCCTTAACCGCGAGTTTTGCGCGGCGCGAGGTGCGATATCACGCGGCAGGCGGCTTGCGTGCGATCACGAGGACGTATGAGAGCTCAAAAGACGCGGAATTCGATTGTCTTTAAGATGATGTAAAAATATTTTAGAAAAGAGGGGTTCTGAAAAAAAAAATGTTTTTGGTTTTGAAAAAAAATAATTATGATTTTTTTAATATACTATAATAGGTAGATTAATTTTCTGCCCTTTCAAGTCATGTAGAGCACGAGATCTGTGATTTTTTTTGCTCATTTGTTAATCTCGTTTGCCGAAATGGCTAATAGCCCTGACAAAAAGACTGAATTGCCTACCGACGTCGACTCGTGGTGATCCATCTGCTGATGCATCTGTCGATGTCCGCGGAAGCATTAGGGACTTCGGTCCTTAGGCCCGTATTATAGTAGGTACAATAAAAGATAGAATTGTATCTGACGTGGAAAAGTTTTGGGAAGAAACTAGAAAAGTTAAGGAGCATGGTATACTAACCTAAAATTCAAGATGTGATACCTAAGAAGCCGTGGCACCAAAAATGTATGTACCGCTTACGAATTGGTCATGGAAGATTCCGACAGCATTTAAACAGAATTAAATTAGAATTGTCGATAAGCGTGGAAACTACAGCATCTTACCTTAGAATGTCCTTCAATATACAGATAATTTTATTGATAGATGGCTTAAAAGAGATTACAATAACTGCAGAATACCCAGCCAATTGCCATCTTACAAAATACTAATATATGTCCTATATTATTTGAATATGTATAATACTTTCTTTATAGAATACTTTCGAAGATATTGTTGAAGTGAACTGAATGGCCGAAATGGAGAAATTCAAGGCCGTAAAACATTAAAAAAAAAGTTGTCAAGTGCCAAAATTTTGACAAACGTCATCTCAAGATTTGAGAAAACTTAAATTTTTATTTCGTATTTATCTTGATATTGTAGATTATTAAGAGTGAAAATGCCATTGCAGTGAATAATATTTTTCTGCTGATTCTAATAACAATCGAGTGATGTTTTGACTTAAAGTGTGTAGTAATCATGGACAATTTGTAAATGGATCTAACTCCTCAATTAACAATTCAATGAGCTGGGTACTTTCCATTTTCAGATGTATTCGCCTCGTCAGAAAATCCTGTGGTTTGCTTTTAATACAAGGATAGCTGTAATAGTATTACAAGCAATTGCGAATAACCTACTACCTGACCACAATGCCAATGTTTTCATCAGTCCAGAAGATCCAACGCTACGAAGAACGTATGGCGATGTTATAATAGAAAAGTTGTTTGGCGGGTTCAAACGGTGGGATGCTCAATATTTCATACATATCGCACAATACGGATACACTTACGAAAATTGCTTAGCATTTTTTCCTCTATTTCCAATGCTAGTTAGATATTGTGCTTATGGACTCTGTAGTTTGGTTGGATCATTGATAAATTTTCATAGTTCGTTACTGATTTCTGCAACAGTTTTGAATTTGTTAATATTTGTGAAGTCAGCTGATATTTTACATAGGCTTAGTTTGAGAATATTTAGGAGTGAGTGTAAAGCTTACAAGGCTGCAGTACTTTATTGTGTGAATCCCGCAAGCATATTCTTTAGTGCTCCTTATTCTGAGGCATTATTTGCTTGGATGACATTTTACACTTTGTTAAAATGTACTGATAATGAAACCTTAAGATTTGCCAACATTGATATAACCAGTGGTTTGCCTGCAGGCTTTACTATGATGACTAGGTCTAATGGATCTATTAATTTGGGATTCATACTATACACTAGTTTTAAAAATGTAATTGAAAGGACTATACCTGAAATTGTATACAAATATAAAACATTGAAACACAGATTAATGCTACCTTTCTTATTGTTACCTCTATTAACTTCTTGTGTGGCATTATTTTTAAGCATAGTAATAGCTTTACTACCATTCCTATTAGTACAAGTATATAATTATTTTAAATATTGTATACCTAATGATCATAATTTACCAGAATTTCTTTATAATTCTGAATATGTTTTGCCAGGCAGTGCAGAGAGCCCCTGGTGTAACTATTCTCTTCCTCTCTCATATTCATATATTCAGAGTCATTATTGGGATGTTGGGTTTTTGAAATATTACCAACTAAAACAAATTCCTAATTTTACATTAGCTGCACCAATCTTATTCATTATATTAAATAACTGTTTTTCATACATTAGGAGTAATTTACAGTTATGTGCTCGACTTGGTATAAGGTCTCATATATATAGTTATGGTCACAGAATGTCTTATAAGCCAAAACAAATTTGTAAAGGATTTGGGGCCAATGATCCAATTTTGTTTGTTTATATAGTTCATATCATGTTCTTGGCTATTTTTTGCATTGTTTTTGTACATATTCAAGTAACAACTAGGCTGTTGGCTTCAGCAAGTCCAATTTTATATTGGATGTGTTCCAGCAAAATAAATGTGGGACCAACACCAATGACAGACCAAAACTCTATCAATGAGCATTTTCGTCGGATTGGAATTGGTAAAAAGATACCTTCTCATCATTTATCTATTGTGAATTTGGAAGGTGTTGATAATATGTATAGTAGATGGAAAACATTCATTATTTCAAGAAAAATGCCTGATTGTCAGTCACAATTAATACAGTATTACTTTTTGGGGTATTTCTTTACAGGAATTATTTTATTTTCAAATTTTTATCCATGGACATGAACTAATTGGTTATTCTTTTGAATACTACATATCTTGATTACATATCCATTGTTGCTTATCAGTGCCGTTTCTTACTGATTTAAAAATGGTTGACAGAAATCAATTAATGTTTATGACTTAAGATAGAAATTTTCTTAATTCTATCTTACCAAATATTCTCTATAGATTTTTAAAGATACAAAAAATGCATTCCAAAATTATTGCTTAAGTATTTAATAAGCATGGGGCCTTTCAGAGTTAGTCCATTTTAAAGTTATGTAGGTAATAGATTATTGCCTTTTTATAATATCTTTGATGTTAAGAGCTGTTTTTCTAGTCATTAATATTTAAGTTAATAATAATTATAAAAAAAGGCTGATGAATCTAATCTTTGTTCACCATGTTGAAGAATACAGTGGATCAGTTTAAAATTTGATCTATTTATTCAAATCAAAACAATATAATTTAGATAATAAAATTTCTTTCTGACTCCTTGGCTTTTAAGCAAATGCATTTATAACACTTCTTGTGTATGAGTGCGATAGTGATCATATGCCTTCAGATAACCAGTGTCCCCCTATAATATAGAAAACGAAAATGGTGCGGGTAGCGAACTATATAAATAGGTATACAACGCACCATATTTCCAAAGACATGTTGGTGCAATTGCAGCACATCTGCTCTAAAAGTCCTATTTTATGGAATCCATAGGATCTCTATAAATCTGCATTCTCAACTAAAATCGTTATTGTCCTTATTGTGAAGTTTACCTACACACCGCCGCGGAATTGAAGCGAAATTGTGCTTAGTATGTATAATGAACTTCATGTCAATTTTATAACATACAAACTAAATACGAGCCAAAAGCTAGGGAATTCTCTAGAATTCGTGTGGGTATTTATTTGTAGAAGTAAGTTCATAAAAAATCTCATCCATTCCATTACGCACGCAGCGCGTATAAATTGAACATTAGTTGTTATTTATTTTTCTGAGTGATCTTCCTTTTTTTCGTAAGAGACTTCTTCCAATTTTTAGAAAACTTATGGAAAAGATAGATGAAATCGTTTAAATTGTTCTCAAGGTTTGGTGACAACAAGAAAAATAGGGATCCGTTTTTATACAGACAGATGTACTTATTGTTAAAACAGCACAAACTGCTTAGAAATAATCATTAGGTAAACAACATGCACCTGATACCTTAACACTGGCATATTCTTCTTTAACATAAGTAGGTACCTAAATAGTATCAATAGTGGTTATACTATCCAATGGAGTATGATTACTTATTAGCATTAATGGTGTTACTTGTTTATCGCTAACTTATCATTTACTAATGTGCTGTTTATATGACATTACTTTTCTGTAAAAATATAAATAATATTATACTTCTATATTATTTAATTTTGAGTTACCTGAGAAGCTACTAGATAATTGAGACAACGATTTAAATTCTTAATATAGTCTATTAAGTGGCAATTAAACATCACTTATATTAATGACATAAAAACAGTCGACATATGATTTTATTTTCAATACACAACAGTTTGTTTTGATGCATTTCAAAACAATTTGCCTGCCCCACGTTGGGCGCCGCTGCAACGTTTTGTTACCTACCAAGGTTATATTAATAAAAAATGATGGGAAACATTGCAGAGTTACCTGTTGTCGGCCTACCTGCTGCAGACCTACTCGCCGAAGGTAGTACCTAACTTCTGGGAACCCCAGGCGAACCCTTGACGTACCCCCCTGAAATATCTTGCATATCATCCTGAAATATCTATTTGCAAACATACTTATGCACACTCTTTTCTATTTTTTATTTACATAATCCTGGTAGGGAACAAAATGTTACAGTGGCGCCCAACGTAGAGCAGGCAAATTGTTTTGACACGCTTCATAACAAATTGTTGTATTGTTTTAAACTCTCATGGTTACTAACATTATAGCTATTAACGGGATTGTTACCATGTACCTTGTTTTTTATGAGTCTCCGATATTTCGGCACTGTTGCAAGCGCCATGATCACGGAGTAACTGAAGTAATTGCGGGTAGATGTTATTGGCAGACATATCGGTCTACCCTCTGACGTCGTCTTTTACTACGCTCGATACCCCTACCTACCACTGATCACATTCTCACTATTCACTCGCACTTGTTCCCGACACAGAAAAATTGTTGTGTATTAAAGAGAACATTCTGTGTCGTCTATTTAAGTAATGTTTAAATGCCACAAAATGGCAAAAATGGATTATATTAAGGGGTATAATAGATAAGTGCTACACGGGAGCTGTTCAATTGAAACCCGCCTCTCGCAGCGCCGCACGTACAACTTCTTATCACGCGGAGGGGACGTCCGCTCCGTGCGCTCGCTCAGCAGACGCCCTTATGGTATAAAATGACAATAATGATAAAGTTTGTGTAGATATAGTTTTACCTATTATTATTGTTTCTGTGACCCTAATTTAGATAGTACAACCACACCACCACACACTAGATAGAGACCTCACCTCAAATACTTTCTTTTCTATGGCAAAAGATATAACAGACTCATGAGTCTTATGTAATTAATTAATTGACGCCGCTGTGTGCGGTCGTTTGTGTATGATGTATTGTCCATATATTTATAATGTAGTTACATTGAAGTTAATTTACTATACTGTCCCCTAAACTTAAACTTGTGTTATGATAACTTTTAATTTAAAGGTAATTATATAGGAACCGTATCGCAACCACATTCAGTTTACATATTGTAATTCTTATTTTTAAATATTTAGTGTAAGGGAATTCTGCAGTATTAACCTATTTATAGTAGTTGATTTCTGAAAGGTATTTTAATAGATAGTATGCAATTAGGGGGCCAGTATTTTATAAAAGAAGCACACATTAATGCACAAAAATTACTCATTTGCTTTTCTTGTACATATCACCGTCCATATAGAAACAAAAGTAACTATTTTATATAGTACCACTTTAAGCACTTCGATAATTTGTATTGAAATGATAAATTAAATTGCCTTATGCAAGAGGTTAACACAAAAAGAAGACGCGCTTTTAATGGTTTTAAATGATAGAATGCGTGTTAAATGTGGGGAGGGGATCGGGAAGGCGCGGAGCGAATTTTATAATAACGCCACCTTTCGTCGAATAAGGTATCAAAAAAAGTACAAAAGTAATATTGCTGGAGATGAGTTTTAATCAGTGTCGACAGCAGGCTGAGTTAGTCCACGCCCACAATAATGAGGACACTACTTGTGCTTGAAAAGCGTTAATTCACTCAATAAGGTACTCTGTGTTATTCACAAAGACTGCCACTGTGGAAATAAGTGACCTGGCAGCAAACGCTTACAAAGAATTTTGACTGTGCTCTCATTTTACTTTTATCGCAAAATACAGCTATCTCTGCTCCAGAAAGTTATCAGCTGGCACGTTTGCTTCATTTCTTGCATTCTATTAATGTTATATCTACTATATGACGCCAATACATCGCGGTTGTGAATTAACTAAAATCATGGACCAAAGGCCCATGTTAATGGTAAATTCATACTAGATCAGAGTCAAAGTTAATTTCAGAAACAATAAGATTTTCTCGATTATCACCGCAACGTGGTACACATATTCCTTCTGAGCTGATATCATTCGCGGAATTCGCACGCAGTCGCGCAAATTCCGGCGAATGCCGTTGTGTTGTCGTGAAGAAGACGCAGAAATTCGCGCGCGCGAGGAAGATGTACATTACGTTGCGAAGATAATTGAAAGTTTGCTTTGTTAAGTTTCTGAAATTCGCTTCTATGATATGCAAAGACTATGCGCTAGTATGTATTGACCATACATATTTAAATATATATTAGGAATAGCCAAAAATATAGGGACCGGGCTCCCCATAATTTATATTCATATTATTTGGTTTTTTCATATACATGGATAAACATAAAAATGATGATGTTAATGAAAACTAAGCAATTTAATCTTTAAAGATTTTTCCTAAATTTATAATAATTGTACTTTGGAAACTTCAGCTTTATAATAGCTTAATAAATAAACAATAATGACAGTATAAAATGTTTTTATTGGTGTTTCTGTTTAACCTTAATGTAATAGTTGGCGATATACATTATTTCCTAAATAAGGTACTTGTAATATTTAAATGAAAAATGCGAAGCACTAAAATCTACTTTTGAGAGATCTTTAACAAGATCAGGGAAAGGAGGATAATTAAAAAGCTAGCTTAGCTTTGTCGCACATAGATTAATAATATAATTTTGTTGCCACAAGCAGGGTTGGAATTAAACCAGGACTGTGGCCCAGGAGCCCCCACAACAGAGATGAACCAAGGGGTGGGGGGGCTTACGGGTCACACCTCTAAATCCGGCACTGGTCACATGCCATTGTAGTGGTTTGAGACATAACATGGTAAAGTCGTATTTAAGTTAGTAAGCGTAGCTACAACTCAAGTTACATTCATCTTACTCAATCATCAGTAGATGAAGATTAACTAGATTCTCAAGATCAAATTAGACACACAACAATTTTATTTATTACACAATAGTGATAAGTTGGCAGAACAATATGCGATCCACGACCCAAAAGTTACGATAGTTTAGTCTCTCGTCTAAAACTCCATGTTGAGTTGTAGTATCAAAACGGACCGCATATCAAAGTGAAACGGGACAAAAATAATTATTCGTTGCAATCTGCCGCAGAGTCCGCTAAAAATTTGGGTGACACTGGTTCGGGAGTGTTCATGCCAGTGGTCGAGTCGGGAAGATCTTGGTCACTTTGGTAAGTCAGCAGCGGGGTAGGACGGGGTACGGTATACATTTGGGTGGAGGAGTGAGCGGGAGCGGGAGCGGGCGACGGAGCGGAGGCGGGAGCGGTGGCGGGCGATGAAGCGGCGGGCGCCAGGGCGGGGCTCTTCCCGCCCGCGTGTCCCTACGCGGCCGCCAGGGCTTCCTGCAAACGTAAACGCGCTCGCTTGACGCGGTCTTCCTGACGTCGAACGTCGTCCTTAGTTATAGTCACCGCAGCGATCAAGGGCTGCTCAGGGTTTAAAAAAACACCAGGGTTTTCGAGTATAGCTTGCTTGCCCCCAGTTTGACCTGTAATAGTTATTTCAAATTATTAAACATGATAATTAATATTAATACCTACCAGTCCCTGTGGTAGCATGAGCACTAAATTCAAAAAACATTTTTATCATGTTTAACTGTCAAACGCCATAGTAATTTGACAATTGCGCCTGGTAAAAACGAGCTATATATATCATATCGCGGTGTTCATGCTAGGGAGCCAGATGCTTTATAAGCGACATACAAACTTTTGCTTGATTCAGAACTCCAGAAGTGTGTAGGTTGACAATAGTTATTAGTGGTTTTAAGAGACTGAACTGCTGAAATGAAAAGTACCTGTTATGGGCTGTGATGATACATGAAGTGCAGTAGCCAGTGATTGTATGGTGGTGGCATCAGATGTATAGGGGCCTAACGGCTTGATGTATTTTGGCAATGTGGTTGTTCCTATCATACCATTTGCATCACAAGCTGACAAACCCTGCAAAATTCAATTTGTATATTTTATAAACGGCTCTGCCATACTTTCTGATGTTGAACAGTCTCTCAAGATGGTGGTGGGCAGCACTGAGGTTAGAGTGGATTCTGCTCTTGTTGCAGAACTATACCAGGATATTTAATACCCTAGATATAATATCATCAACATAATTATGGCCGAAAGCTGTCCAAAAGGTGCATTGCACAATCCACAGAACTCTGTAAGATGGTTGAGTAGTCAAAAACAATATAGGACCTTATTTAAACATTCAAAGTCACTATAAACGCATAAAATATAAGGTCTAAATTTAAATGCATGCATCAAAGAGTTATGACAATTTGATATGCAAGTTTATAAATTTTTATGACTTGTTGCAGTAGGCAGTCGTCGTCGTCGTCGTGGACTCCATTACCTGGTTACTAATAATCCAACAATATTAACCTTTTAAACTACAAAATAAAAAAAACAAAAAATGGAAATGTGTACTGAGACACATAGTAGAAGTGAAACTTCAATAGACAATACTGCCTCCGCCGCTGCTGCCTCTTTCTACGCGATATATTGTCTACCCCCTCAGCATGGGGCCATAACGTTTTTTCATGACAGAAAAATTCGAATATCCCGTCCACTTCAATAATAATACATTACATTTAATCATCCTATACTGTTTTGTCAGTATGGCACATAATGTATTGTCATTTAATGGATATTAAAGAAAAGAAAGTTCACTTACTTCTAATCTTTTTTCCCAAAACAGTTGCTTTGGCTTTTCTTGAGTGCCATGCTTTAAATCCGTCTTCACCTTACTGTCTTGGGTCTTGTAAACAGTTACGGGCTGCTTGAAAATTGAAGCAGTTTGTCTTATTGGTGGCACCAAAGAAGCATCAGACCGCAGACCCCTTGTTTGGAAATAGACATTGTATTTTACACTTGACAGAAATTTAATTTTATACAATTTACATAAAAAACCCTAATTTGGAGGAGCAATTTTAAGTTTTTATGTTTATTTAACAGAAGTTGTTATTGTTGGATAATTGTTAATTTTACAATTAGTGCAAAATATATTTATGAAAATTATTTGTTTTGATGGTTGATACATTTAACTCAAAAATCTGTGTATAATATCAATATGGCTATTAACAGTATTTACAACCAAAGGATTTCTAACTGGTGGCAATTTTTTTTTTAGAAAATAAGCACTGGGACTGATTTTACTATTGCTACAGACTATGCTTAATAGTTCCTTTGCTATCTTAATATCCATTGTGTGTATGCTGCAACATTTGTACATCTATTTGTTTAATATCAAGTTAATTTCTTTCCACATTTTCACACAATAGTTAGATAAGGAAGGGAGGCAAATTAGGCAAAATATACATGTCAGGACTCCATAGCAATTTCAGATAAAACTGAAAAGCACATATTAATTCTGAGTTACACATTTAATATAAAATAATAAACAGAAGAAAAAATGCAATAAATCACTAACTACAGACTCAATAAAATTAATTAGGTTAGATGGATAACAAAAGATTATGATACACTAAACAATGGTACACACACAAAAATATTAACACATAATGACTAACATAATTAATTAATTTTATTACAGAAGAAGTTATACTACTACAATGAATGATATAAAACAAATGAGTAAGAAATGTAATAGTTTTAAACTATAGAGAAGACTAAGCTTGCATGTGTTTCAGTGAGTAAGCAAATAGAAATGGACGTAGTTACGCGAAAACGTTCCAACCCACAGCGACCCCATTTTGAGATAAACGCAATTTTGTGTTTTAGCGGTACACTTTTTCCCTGTAATTATTTCAGGCAAATACTATTGGTGTTACTGTGGAATGCCAAATTGGTTATTGAATGATATGCATATTTTTTGTAAATACATAATACAAGGGGCATATAAATAGGTAAAACGAGTTTGAAACGTTTTCGCTAAATTTAATTTTGTATGAACCTTGTTAAATAGCAATTATGCATAAACGTTCCAGAACGAATTTAAGTGTATTATTTTATAAATATATCTAAAATAAATATGTAAAATAATAAATAACAATGAGGAACATACAAAAACAACAAAAATTTGAAAATGTATTACAAAAAAAATAGAACGTGATCTTTTGAGCTTTGAACCTATGCCAATTTGCTGATATGGTTCCAAAAGTTATCAAAAACTTATATTATAAACATTCAATTTTCATCATCGTATTCTATGATCTCGAAGTCCGGAACTCCACCAAACCCATCAACATCATCAGTGCTTCTTCAGAACAGAAGGCAATCCACTTCCTGTGCACCTCTTCCTACCTCTCCTTCTACCAATACATAACAATGCCCAGTATCATTAGATGCACTATGGATACCACTATTGTAGAACTAAGTAAAAAAGTTAAACCTCTTCAAGTTTACAAAATGACAAAGACTGATTTTATAGTACAACTAAACTGGAAAAGAAGATTATCAATAGGAAGAAGTTTACAGACTCATCTAAAGTTAGTTGGCTACATACAAAAGAAATTAAGTTGGATAAAGATATAATTTTTTCTATTTTTATGCGGTCTACGATGGAAGACGATTTCAATGAGTTGAAAATTGATAAAAGAATAAAACGAGAACTACAATACATAAAAGAATCTGATTTTTGCTTATTGTGGCCTAACGACAAACCGATTGCTCCAGCGAAATTAGTGGACTTACAATCCATGTACCACTACATACCCGAGGATTGCCTTCAATTTTATAGAACGCTTCAAAGTTCTGAAGAAGCACTGATGATGTTGATGGGTTTGGTGGAGTTCCGGACTTCGAGATCATAGAATACGATGATGAAAATTGAATGTTTATAATATAAGTTTTTGATAACTTTTGGAACCATATCAGCAAATTTTTGGCATAGGTTCTAAACTCAAAAGATCACGTTCTATTTTTTTGTAATACATTTTCAAATATTTTTTTTGTTGTTTTTGTATGTTCCTCATTGTTATTTATTATTTTACATATTTCTTTTTGGTTTATTTTTATAAAATAATACACTTAAATTCGTTTTGGAAAGTTTATGCATAATTGCTATTTAACAAGGTTCATACAAAATTAATTTAGCAAAAACATTTCAAACTCGTTTTACCTATTTATATGCCCCTTGTATTATGTATTTACAAAAAATATGCATATCATTCAATAATCAGTTTGGCATTCCATAGTTAAACCAATAGTATTTGCCTGAAATAATTACAGGGAAAAAGTGTGTAAATTGCGTTTATCTCAAATTGGGGTTGCTGTGGGTTGGATCATTTTCTCGTTACTACGTCCAAATATACCATAGTTATTTATTTTGGTAAAAAATATCTTGTTCTCTAGAACATACTTAATAGCAAAAATGGATCAAGTATATGTGGATTGTTTATAGCAAAAAATTAGAAAATAATATATTATAATAAAAGGTTTCAATTTATTTAGAACAGTGTTCGCAGCTTAAAAAAACAGTATGGATTAATCTAAAAGGTTTCAAATTACATGGAACATTTTTGCAGAAATAAAAAATGTATAAAGATTTTGCAAAAACGTTCCAACCCACATGGATCATTTAAGAAACCATTAAATGTGCGTTTTATGAATTTAGTATAATGTTCCAAGACAAGTGGAACATTATAACGATATGTTATTCTATTAAGAGTTTTTAACAATATGTTTCAGTATGCATGTAATGTTTTTACTTTATTTTGAGTACACGTCCTTGGCATAATGGTGGGTTGGAACATTTGGGTTAAACTTTATTGATGAAACTAACCTAAAAATACTAGCATCTTTGTGTGCACATGATGTAATATGTCAAAAATAGTACCCTGGTTATGGTAACTCATTTTCGAGTGACTTGTGGGTTGGAACGTTTTCGCGTAACTACGTCCAAATAAATAGTGACATAAGCTGTGCAGTAATGTATAAATTAAAAACAAAAACTTCAATATACCAACAAAAACTTTCTCACACAATTACTTCAATACCACCAAGGAACTAATCTAGCACACTTACAAGCTTCTATCCAATAGCATAAAATAGAACACAAAGCACAGATTGCACTATTGACAACAACACAGTGATAAGATATGACACTAGTGGGAACCTGTAATCAAACTGCGCTCGAGCTTTCTTGGCCTTGCACAGCAACACAGTGTTTATTTGACCCTGTTGAAAGTCGAAACACGACAGGTCCATACTATCACCAAGATAACGAACTAGCTCCGGTTTACTGCTGAACTTTTTACCTGTTGGGCTATAGAAAATGCAACATGACTACTAACACTTCTCTTAATATCAACAGAAACACAGGCAGAGCATAAACTATGAGGAACATTCTTGAACCCAATCCATTGAATACTGTAATTCTTGTAAAGTTAGCTTTTGGCTAATAATAGGTCAAATTGTCTGAGCTTCTTTACCAGAAGCCCTATAGGTGAAACAGTTGAGTAAGAACATTATGCAGAAGTAAAATGTGATATTTACAAGTTTCTGAAACTACAAACAATTTTTCTTTTTACCTATAATAAAACACATCAACTTTCCCAGCAGAAAGTCCTGTTTTTCTTACAACTTCTTCTCTTTGCCATCCTTTTGGCAAAGCTGAACAATCCATCTTTTTTCTTTCTATTGAGATATTCATAGCTTTAATTTTATTTCAGAATTCCTTTAGGGTATACACAATCGTTCGTTGTTGCCCCTATGTACAAAGTTACTCTATGGTTGTTGCTGTTGTGTTTTTTTAAGTTTTACGGCCGTGAATTTCTCCACTTCGGCCAAGTTTTTTTTTCTTTATAGCCTGCACGGTTTGTGCGCCAGCCACATACAAGTGTTATGGTAGGGAAACAGGATAAAAAGGAACGGAAATTTAGAAGGACAGGATCAAGTAAGTATTCACAGTTTAATATTGTTTCTGGATAAAATTTGAAATTTTTTATTTATATAGATAACTAGCTGTACCCTGCCACGCTTCGCAGTGGCACATTGTGATTGAATGGTTGAGAAATGAGAAACAAAACAAAGAATACATTTCATAGGTATAAGTTTAATTTTGCAATACTTGTGGATATACAATATTTTTTTTGTTTTTCCACTGTGTACGTAGATATAAAGACTATCTGGTTTGCCGACTTGGGAACACGATTATTAAAAAAGATTCACTTCAATAATAAATATGTTTTGTTATTGATTAATTATTAAAGTAATATTTTACTTATTTATTTAATTAATTAATATTTAATAAATAATAATTGCAAAAAAAATATGTTTTTACTGTCCATCTTTAACTTTCGTTCCGCGTCATCTTTCGTGAGATACTGTACTATAATCATCAATCAATAATCAAAATCATTTATTCAGTTTAGGCTGTTACAAGCACATATGAATGTCTAGAAGCTATGCCATCGGTTCGTAAATCTACGGCGGAAGACCTTGTACTGAGAAGAACCGGCAAGAAACTCAGCAAGGGCTGTTTTTTTTCTCCCTGTTTTATTATTTACAGAGTCGTCAAGTTGAAAAATGACTTCAGAGATGATTCATGAAGTCACCCTTCATTACATAATGTGAAATTATACATTAATTGTTCACCTGCATTTTGATTGCTGTGTCACACAGTATAAATACAAACAGAGTTATTTATAATAGGTGTAATTAAACATTTACATCTTAAATATCAAAGTAGTTAGGGCAGACTCATCTCCGCTGGCAGCACCCGTTCACGAGCATGACGCATGAACCAGCCATCGCTTCGCTCAACCATATTTTAGGGAACGTAACGACCCACCTCACACGACACCACCGAAGAGACTTTTAAGAGAGCATGACTACCCATAACCACCTATATCAACCACAACATATTTACTTAAACTTAAAGTCATTTATCTGTAGGACACTGCAAACAATTACAAAGCAAAAACAATGTAGAAATCATGACCACGCCGTTTTGTCATTCAAATCTTCTTAAATAGTCTGATATTCTTCCTTACGTAATCAGCTTTAAATACAGCTTTTCAAGAGAAGTATCATCAACACATGATTCATAATATATATCATATAGAAATACCCGTTGGAATGGTTGGAACAGTTCAAACCCAAGCATTTTTGTCTGTAATATAATCAGACACTTTATAATAAGCATTCTTAATAAGAGTTTTTTTAATAGTCGATTTAAATTTAGTCAGGCTTAACTCTTGAATATTGCTTGGGACTTTATTGTAAAAGCGAACACAGAGGCCTCGAATTATTAATTTTGTGGAGCCTAGTAGCAGGTAAAGTTAACTTATTTTTACTTCTAGTATTAAGTGTATGTATTTCACTATTTTTAGTAAATAAACTAATATTTTTTTTGACATATACTAAGTTTTCATATATGTATTGTGATGCAACCGTCATTATGCCTATTTCTTTAAACTTATTTCTTAAGGAGTCCTTAACTTTAAGATTATAAATTGATCGAATAGCCCGCTTCTGCAACACAAATATTGTTTGAATGTCGGCGGCATTTCCCCACAGTAAAATACCGTAAGACATTACACTATGAAAATAACTAAAATAGACTAATCTGGCAGTTTCTATATCCGTTAACTGACGTATTTTCATTACAGCATATGCTGCAGAGCTAAGTCTCTTCGACAATTTATCAATATGTGGGCCCCATTGCAACTTTGAATCTAGTGTGATTCCTAAGAACAC